TAAAAAGCCAGTCAGCCAGCTGGAGAGCTGTTGGCCGAATCGCCTTGCAACAGTTTTCTTTGTTTTGGTTTCTTTTCTGCTTTTTTATATTATTTTTCAGTTGCTTTGCCCACTGCTCGCGTTTACTTTGGCTTACTTTGTGTAACAAGTTTGCATATGTAATTAACCAACTGCCAGTGGAGTATTAGTAAATATAATTAAAAACTAAATCGGAATGTGGGCAAGTTGGGCAAACGCAGCAGATGATGCAAGCGGATTGCTTATTCTATAATCTCAAAATTGTAAACAAAAGACTTTGGCGGCAAACTTGGTAAACAAAAGACTTAGGCGACAAACTTCATCGATTCGGTTGGCTTAGGTGACAAAATAGTTAACCCATTAAAGGCCAATGGATGGCTTTTATCACTCCCTGCTGACCTTGGCACTGTCGGCATTATTTTCTAATTAGCGTAACGCCTCCGGGAAGAACTCTGTCCACTTCTTGAATGATTTCTCAAGTTTATTTGTGTTTGATATTATCGCCACCGGAGTCGGAAGCTTATTGTTCTCTTGTCTGGTTTCCATTTTCAATTTTGTTGTTATTATTTTTTACGATTATTTTCATTATCTTTCGAGTTGGTTCTGATCAGTTGTCAGAGTCCATTAAAAGTGAGTAAATTAAATGAAATTTTGTCAAAAAATAAAAAAAAATAGAGACGCATGCAAGTAATAATCTTAGGTTTACTGAACTGGGTGTGGGTATATGATGTCAGACATAGGAAATGGGTTCTGCTTGGCCAAGCCACTGAGAATTTATGGGGTTTCATAGGCCTAGTCTAATATATTTTTAACAAGCTGGGCAGTAAATGGGTATCTTGACGAGTGGGAGTGTCTCATTTCTGACTTTGATTACCCCAGATGAATGATAAGACAAGAATGCCCAGTTTTGATTGAGACATTATATAACTTTGTATTCTCACGGTAAGTAATATTTTTCCAAAAAATGGAATCCAGTTCTTTTAAAACTGCGCAGAGAATTTAAAACCTTTGGGTTTAAATTCGAAAATGCAAGCAACAGCAACGACCTTCAATAAAAAAAGAAGCTACATTAAAAACAAAAAAAAAAAGACCATAAACAACAATGGCAGCGAATGCATTGCGGAGAGCGTTCAGCTAAGAAACTTGATTAAAGTTAAGAAAAACGTAAAGTTCAACTTGTTTCTGCTGTCATTTGTTGGCTGTGTTTTTTGTTGCTTTAGTTACTATTGTTGTTGCTGTTGGCTGTTGCATTTATACTGAAGCCTTTGCGCCATGGCTTGACATTTCGCACAAACAAAAAAAAAACTAAAAAAATGGGCGAAAAAAAATACAAATGAAGAAGATGCTGGCTGGCAGCAAAAGCAACATTTCATGCTTTTATTTTCGCAATTTGTTGCACCAACCCAGCCCAGTGCGATATAATGAATCTGAAAATGCCCGGGCTATTGTCACTGGTATAATTAGCCGGCTGCTGCTCTCAGGCCCGAAAAAGCCAAAAGACTATGGCCAATTACACGCCGGAATATGTGAGCGTCTCCGAGTCCCAGATGGGAAATAAGATTCTCGAATGCCGCTGCAAATTTCAAATTCTTGGCGGCTAAACTGCAAATGTCATACTGCCAGCCAAGTCCATAGTTCAAGCCGGCACCGTGGTTGATTATTTTAGTGCTGCTTTTCAGCAAATAAACTTTTACGAAATATTTAAGTGCCGCAATATAGAATTGTAAAATAATAATTGCCTCAATCAGGGTGTTTTTACGTTTCTAAATAGCGGATATTATTGCCATAAAAACCACTGTGCTTTGGGAAAAGCACTTGACGTGACCAGTCCAAGTACCCAGATTACCGATCACCGATCGCCGACTTAAAATGGTATTGCCTTGCATTGAACCCCATGGCCCACACAACGCCCCTCAATCGTTGCTGGCGCCTTTATTGTTTTCGGTCATTTTCCTGCCTGGCTGGGCTCCGCTAAGTTGCTTTCAGCTTAGCCCGGCCTTAGCCAAATGCCAAATGCAGTCAACAGTTTGAGAGCTACTGTGGCTTAGAACGGACAGGTCGGCGAAGTTGAAACGGTTTTGAGAGCCATTGTCAGTAGTAGGCTTGCCACCGACTGTCACATAACGACAGGCTTTCGAACAATAGAATGCAAAATTTAAAAAAAAAATCTAAATTCGAATTATTGTTTGCAAAATTTTCAGTAAGGCATCATGTCCGGCTACGATTGGTGCAACCAAATTGGTGCAACCACTGACTTTGAAGAGGCTGCCGAGAAAAAGAAAAAACGGAAGATTTGGAGAACGAGGCGTTACAATCCCTTCGATTTGTTCTACAAGGACTTTCGGCTGTGGCACACCGACAAATCGTTTCAAGATATTAATGCAAACGAGGTCAGAATCCGGAGGAAGGCCATCAAAGCCTGGCACAATCTTAATCCATCTCTGAAGGATCAATACAACATAATGGTGCGTGTCCAGATGGCCCAGGATAAAAGATGGCTTAAAGAACTGTTGAAAAATCGAAAAAGGAGCCTGAACAAGGGGGTTCAACAACCCATGGATGTATCATATAAGCGACATAGGCTCAGGGCTCCCAAAAAACATAGATGCAAAGTAATAATAGCGGAGCCTTCTATTCCAAGGCAGAAAGTACATCGCACTGTGGTTCGACGTCCCACTCCAGTTCCCGAAAACATGAAAAGGAAACGTCCGAAAGAGCTGCCGAAATTCGTACCCCTACCCGTAAAAAGATATCATTCTAGAACCTAAACTTTAGGACATAAAATAAATGTTTCTGTTTCAATGTCAATCATCGATTCTAGCCACATCTGAAATCTTTCAACCGCAGAGCTACACTTACCATAAATTCCAATTGCGATCGATAGGCCTTTATTTATGCGACAAGAGCCCGAAGGTTGTCGGCGACTTCCCAAGTAGAATTCTGTTCAACAAAAATAGGCAAATGTGTCACGACCCAACAAATACGAATTTATTTTGATGGTTTTTCAATTTTAGGTCAAGTATGGGCACAGAATACTAATAAGTAAACTATTTACATCACAAAATAAAAATGTATTCACCCACATCAGAACTGCAATGCCCACTTAAAGATGGAACATAGTGCAGCGGTCAACGGAAAGGATGAACGATTTGATCTACCTTTTGCTGATTAGAGTTAGAAAGCTTGGAAAATTAGCAACACAACTCTTGCCCAATAGCAGAAGGAAATAATTTAATGTCTATAATGTAAATATAAATAAAATGTTTGTTTCTGAAGAGGAGGATTCGAACCCGTGGGACTTCGCGTAGAACCGCGCTGTTAGAACGCGCATCTTAGCACGCACCACCACCATACGAACTGTTACAAACGCGCCCAATACACATGTGGTCTGTGGTCAAGCAGTGCTTTCAAGCAGTTTGTAAGCAGTGTATCTTTAGGTTTAAAGATACTTTTAAAAAATTATTATTTTAGAGAGCAATAAAGATTTTTAAATTTTTTTTAATCGGTGTCTGAATAATTTAATATATTTGTATGATTTTAAACCAATCACATCCAATAATTAATTAAATTCTAGCTGCTTAGTGCCTTAAACGGAAGTGGGTGTATCTGAAAAGCACTAAGAAAACACCTAGCTTTTAGCTGGTGCAATTGCCTTGGCATACAAACATTTTTCGGGGTATATCTCTTACCTGAAGATCCCTAGGCGTCATTAATCAAAACCCTAAAGTAATCCCAAGTCAGTCATTTCGACAGCACTCAGCGACGCCTCGGCGCGTTCTGAGATGCGATAATAAACGGCAATTATTTGCAGTTAAAAGCGATTCAGGTACAAAAAAAAAAAAAAACAAGGTGTGAAGCCCAAGAGTGCCGCCCGAGTTGAATAAATCGGATAGCATGTAGGCGTTGTCTCTCCACAACCTCCGGGCCTCTTGCATAAATTTGTCTGATAAAATTTTCAATGAATCGCTGCCGAGACTGCAATTTCGTTTGAAATATTGCGGCCATATGATATTTCAATTTTCAATTAGCGACTCAAAAATCTGTCGACACAAGAAGACAAACAAAAAAAATTAAAAAAAGCTTTGCGTGGTTCCAACTGCATTTTCTTGTAAAAAATGTTTGTTTCTTTTTTTTTTTTTTTGTCTATTTTTCGTTTAGACAAGACATTGTGGGTCAAAGAGTCAGGATTGTGACGCATGCAACATTAAACTGCAACTGCAACGGCAGCCTTTGTGTTGGGTGACTCGTAGCCCCCGAAAATCCTCTTTTTTTTTTGCCATTTTTTTCCACACGTAATATTTCGACAAGCCGTATTATACTGATATCCGCTTGCAGTTTGTTACACTTTCGTTTTTCAATCATTTATAATCTCTGAAGAAAAATAGGAGAATTGGCAGAAATGATGTTGCAAAGTAAATATGAAAAATGGGACAAACAAGTCTTAAAATTTAACTATTTAATGGGGGTATTATTAGCCTAACTCGTTGGAAGATTCGGAAAAAAATGAGCTGTAATTATTGAAAATAATCGGGCAACTGCTTTAAAGTTCAAAGATAGATTTCGACTCCAATGATTTTTCCAAAGAAATCTTTCTGGTTATTATTTTGTTTGGTTTGGTTCAGAAAAATCCCCAAGTGGTTGATTATTAACTGGAGGAAACCTCCCATCACTCACCTGTTTCCCATTCACTTTTGTTTGACAAATGCGTGCCAAAAAAAAACAGACAATTTTTTTTGCCAGTCTGTGACAAATTTGTGACCCACAAAAAAAAAATGATATAATTGATGTGCTGCCAGCCGAGAGGCTTTATTTATTTATTTATTTATTTATAACACTTTTGGCGCAATTAAGAGCAATGATATTTGGGTTTTTGCGACGCACTCTGTTTCAGGGCTAAGCGATGCTCGAGGCGCTTAAATGTACAAATTAATTGATTGTTGACACATTTACGCTCTTAACTAATAACCGACTCCGACCTTCAGATACTTCCAGCTACTACTTTCCATCGCAAAACCGATTTGTGCCATCGTCCGGTTCCTTTCCGCGCCAGCAGCCCCAGTCACTGGGTGGATTCCGTGCCAGTTCCGGCGCATACTCACCAGCTCCCGGCTCCTACCAGGAGCAGCTCCTCTTCATAGCCAACGAGAACGCCAAGCAATCGCCATCCGGGGTGAATACGCCATTTGGCGGCACGTTCGGCGGCAGTTCCCCCCAATTTGCGGTAAGTTTTTCCTTCGATTTTGCACCAAAAAACATTCAAATTCAATTATTTCAACATTACATTTCCTTATTCGGCGAGGGGGCGTTCAAGCAGCTCGGCTCTAGGCGCAATTAACTTGGCTCTTTCATGGGGCTTTTCTTGGCTTTATGTTATACTATATTGTTGGTTGGCTCTAGGCACGCCAGTCACTCAATCAACGCCAAAAACGAAATCAAATCGAATGCAAAAACCAAAAGGATTTCCACATGCCACATATGAAATTTCAAATTTTATTTAGTTGGTTGCCCAAAATTGCCGAAAGGAATTTCAATTGGCTCTGGTGATGTTAATATGGAAGTTGGCGTGATTCGAAAGGCAGGATATTAAAATATTGATACTTGATAATTATCAAAAATTAAAAAAGGGTCAAATAGGATACTTCAGGAAGGTGTACTTCGCGCCTTTCTCTTTCTACCACTAACTTGTCTAACTTCATCTATAAATATTTTAACACGCAAGTTCCGAAAAAAAAACATTTAGATTGCTTTTTAAATGTCCGTAGGCTTGCATGCCAACCAAAAACCCACAAAAAACAAATCAAATTATGGATAGAAAAAATAACTGCGTGAAAAGAAATGACGGGAACTGCATTTGGATATCTTCGACTTTCACTTGACTAAACTCAAACAAAGCGAATCGGCTTCTGCATATCAACGAATATGCGTGAATGTTTTCAGAGGTACTCGAGAGGGGCAGGCCGGGCGAATAATCCAGGTGGTTTCTTAATTGAAAAATGTGTAAAATCATATTGTTTATTGCTGGCCTGAAATGCGATGAGCACGCACTTTGCCAGCTTGCACCAGCTTTCGGCCCTAATTGAAATGCTCTTTGTGGCAAGCAAAATGGGAGGGAGGAGGCTGTAGGTTGTAGATACTGCACAGCAAGAGGTCTAAGCTCTGTGGCAGTTAAATTGCTAAAGGGTCTAAGTATATGATGTAGATACTCTTTATAGAGACTATAGAGGAGAAGTTAGTAGGGCTTTTGCTTAGAAACTTAAGGCGGTAAAAGTTAAAAGATATATTTTAGACGATTAAAATCTTTTTTCTTTAAAGAGTATTCAGTAAGTCATTACCAGAAGTCATTCCTCTTGAAAGTGACTTCTTTTTAGACTCAAAGGCAAAAATCAATTAACTTGTTCCAAGTCCAGAGGATGTGATTGTGGCAATTGTCTGAGCCTTGATGGATGGAAGGCACAGGCTCCTTAGTAGATAGTTCCTTCATCAGCCTTACTGAGCCCCTCCAATCTCCTGCTATTTCGGTTTTTATGATCGGCTTATAGCACAATGGACTGAGTGTGATTTGTATGAATTATGGCTGATTGGCTGGCCAAGAGTCTAAAGCTGGTCTAAAGGGGAAAGTGCGTCGTAATGACGTCTGCGAATGGCAGTGCAATAACCCAGTCTTCTTCTGCGCCACGACTGCTTTCCACACGACATGTCCAGAGAGACGTGAGTGGTGTGGAGCTTTCATAGTTTCATTATGCTATCCATACATATTATTGACAAATGTGTTAGAAACGTTTGTTTTTAATTTCCCCCAGTCGCTTTCGACTTCACCGACTAACACAAAGAGCTCCAGTCCAAATGTTGACAATGGAGTAGAGAAATTTCAATCGGATAGCAAATCGGAGTAACCAATCCCACACAGCACTGAAAGAAATTAGTGGTATAATATAATAACCGATTTAGAAAGTCAAAAGACTAAGTTTTAATAGAAGTTACTAAAAGAACTTCTCTTCAAAAGTAATATTTAAAATTCTTAAAGTAAAAACCTAGCTTTTTGTTGGGGTTTTCTGTGTAGGCCTTTTGGAGCCGCCCATTTAATGACTGTTAATCAGAGTAAGTCCAAAAGGCTGGCCAACAGCCGCATTATTGTTTCTTTACCCAAAAAAGAGAGAAAATCTTTGGCTCACTGGGGAACTGGGAAATTGCAGACACAGGGGGGGCTATCTATTGTAGGGTTTCTGATGCGTAAACTCCCTCCGCCCAGACGGCAAGCCGGCGAGAAGCGGAAAAATAAATGCATTGAAATGCACCTTTTAGCAACAAAACTCGCGTTTTGTATGCAATTTGCTTAACAGAGCACAACTATTGGCTTCAAAAGTCTAAGCAAAAGCCACACTATGGTACACTTTCAAAAATTCAACAAAACTGGGCGAGAAACAAAAAAACCTAGAAAACAATACAAGACCAATAATAATAATGGATAACAACAAGTACTTTTTGAACTGGAGGCGAAACTGGCAGCAATTTCGATTTCGGATTTCGGATAATTAGTGAGTCGTTGAATATGTATACTCGTAGTTTTCAAACGACCTTGATACACTTCAATCAAATATTTTCAATCGATTTTCATTGTTGAATATCTTTGGCAATCTTGTCTAAAATCTCTATGGCATTGTCTGCAACACGTTGGGGGGAGCATGTTTTTGAGAAGGGTCTGACCGATCTCTATTGGTCAGATTCAAGTGCCCCCAGCTCCCACCTGAAGTTGGCCTAGATTATCTACTTTGTCACCATAAGACCCTGCTCATAAGGCACTTGTGATTCTGTATGAGGGGTGTGAGGTATCATTTCAAGACCCTGATCAAAGTCAGTTAAGAAACTCTTCTGTTAAAGCTTTTTCTAGAAAATTACACAATTTCAATCACTTAAGAGCCAATATCTTCAAACAAAAAGGTTTAAACTGCATTTTCCCACATTGTATTAATTTCAAAACCATTCTGCTTGAAGCCCTAATTCATTATTTATCAAACAATTTATATCATTTGACAAACCCCCTTCCCAAAATGAAAAACTAAAACCCCAAACTAATTAACCTGCTTTGCCATAACACCATTAAAATCCTATCACGATGTTTCTCCCTCTTTTTTGGTTGTGCCACAGAAACCGAATCGCCAGTCGGACTATTACGATATCTCGCCACGCCCCTTTGGGGTGCCCGGCGGGGCGGGTCCGGCGGCATCAGCTGGATCTTCGGGTGCAGCATCTTTGGCAGCTGGTGCAACGTCCGCATCGGTGACCAATGGCTTCACACGCTCCAAGGCGATACGCAACGGTCTGGGTGGATCGGGAAATAGCCTAACCGGTGGATTTCAGCCGCATACGCAGCGCATCAATGTGCCACACCAGCAGACGCAATTTCTGGCCCACTTTAATGAGAATGGGGTAAGGAAATCCATCTAGATGTGTGGTGTTAATGGAAATTACACTAAGGAAAATATTTAAATAATAAAAATACTTGCTTTTTGTTCTTTAATCTTGATTAAATAGCGTTAGAAATCCATTCTATCGCATTCTATATCTAGTATTAATAATAGTTATACTAAGAAAAACACTTAAATTAGTATTAAAGTTGTTAAATTTTTTTTTAAACTTTGGAGATAATGCTAACGATAATGGTGCAGATATGGTGGTGCATTAATGGAAGTTACACTAATGAAACAATTTTAATACCAAAAAAAACTTCTTTTAGGAATAGATCCTAACTTAGGATATCTTGCGTCCAGTGGCGGATTTAACAGGTGGGCAAAGGCGCGCTTGCCCACTGGGCCCCCCCGACGAAAGGCTTTCAGGGCCCCTCGTGCTGAAAGTTACACCTTCGATTTCTTTTCCACAAATCTGCATCAACATCTGGGAACAAAATATTTTAAAGATTTTTTGTCAAATTTTCTGGGCTGTCCCCTTCAAAATGTGCAAAATGCATGGGGAGCCCCATATGACCCACTGCGAAGGCTATATCTTAGGAAATATTCATCCGATTCTTGAACGGAATACCTTAAACGATTTGTGGATCGATTTTCCATAAATCTGCATCAAAATCTGGGAACAAAATATTTTAAAGATTTTTTGTCAAATTTTCTGGGCTGTCCCCTTCAAAATGTGCAAAATGCATGGGGAGCCCCGTATGACCCACTGCGAAGGCCATATCTTAGGAAATATTCATCCGATTCTTGAACGGAACACCTTAAACGATTTGTGGATCGATTCTCCATAAATCTGCATCAAAATCTGAAAACAAAATATTTTAAAGATTTTTTGTCAAATTTTCTGGGCTGTCCTCTTCAAAATGTGCAGAATGCATGGGGAGCCCCATATGACCCACTGTGTAGGCCATATCTTAGGAAATATTCATCCGATTCTTGAGCGGAATACTTTAAACGATTTGTGGATCGATTCTTCATAAATCTGCATCAAAATCGAGGAACAAAATATTTTTAAGATTTTTTGTCAAATTTTCTGGGCTGTCCCCTTCAAAATGTGCAGAATGCATGGGGAGCCCCATATGACCCACTGTGTAGGCCATATCTTAAGAAATATTCATCCGATTCTTGAACGGAATACCTTAAACGATTTGTGGATCAATTCTCCATAAATCTGCATCAAAATCTGGGAACAAAATATTTTTAAGATTTTTTGTCAAATTTTCTGGCCTGTCCCCTTCAAAATGTGCAAAATGCATGGGGAGCCCCATATGACCCACTGCGAAGGCCATATCTTAGGAAATATTCATCCGATTCTTGAACGGAATACCTTAAACGATTTGTGGATCAATTCTCCATAAATCTGCATCAAAATCTGGGAACAAAATATTTTTAAGATTTTTTGTCAAATTTTCTGGCCTGTCCCCTTCAAAATGTGCAAAATGCATGGGGAGCCCCATATGACCCACTGCGAAGGCCATATCTTAGGAAATATTCATCCGATTCTTGAACGGAATACCTTAAACGATTTGTGGATCGATTCTCCACAAATCTGCATCAAAATCTGGAAACAAAATATTTTTAAGATTTTTTGTCAAATTTTCTGGGCTGTCCCCTTCAAAATGTGCAGAATGCATGGGGAGCCCCATATGACCCACTGCGAAGGCCATATCTTAGGAAATATTCATCCGATTCTTGAACGGAATACCTTAAACGATTTTTGGATCGATTCTTCATAAATCTGCATCAAAATCTGGAAACAAAATATTTTTAAGATTTTTTGTCAAATTTTCTGGGCTGTCCCCTTCAAAATGTGCAGAATGCATGGGGAGCCCCATATGACCCACTGCGAAGGCCATATCTTAGGAAATATTCATCCGATTCTTGAACGGAATACCTTAAACGATTTGTGGATCGATTCTCCATAAATCTGCATCAAAATCTGGGAACAAAATATTTTAAAGATTTTTTGTCAAATTTTCTGGGCTGTCCCCTTCAAAATACCCTTCAATGTACCCTGAAAAAATTTTACCCTCTGGGCCTTTTTCCTTAAATCCGCCACTGCTTGCTACCTAATTTCTATCTATCTAGTCTATGCTATCTAATTTTTTTTCTTGTGCAGATCACATAGCGAAAGTAAAAGCGACAGAAAGACAGAAAAACAAGAAAGGAAAGCTAACTTCGGGCGGAGCCGAAGTTTATATACCCTTGCAGTTAAAACCGGATATATATCGCAAACATCGGATATAGTTGGCCGATCCTTATGGGAATAGGAATATATACTCCAATTTATTACAATACAAAATCTAAAAAAAGTCCCAAGCTTCTATCTTCAAAAATACGAAAGTTGATATTTCTACCAAATACCATTTCCGATCGTTCAGTTATATGGCAGCTATAGGATATAGTCGGCCGATCCTAATGAAATTTGGTAGGTTGGATCAACTGACCAAAAATAGAGTCTGTACTAAATTCCAGCTTTCTGTCTTCAAAAACACGAAAGTTGGGTCATTTCCGATCGTTCAGTTATATGACAGCTATAGGATATAGTCGGCCGATCCTTATGAAATTTGGCATGTCGTATTATTTTGCCAAAAATAGCTCTCACCTCTAACTTGAACTCTCTAACTCTAAAAATACCAAAGTTATACCATTTCCGATCAATCAGTTATATGGCAGCTATAGGATATAGTCGGCCGATCCGGGCCGTTCCGACTTATATACTGCGTGCAAAGGAAAGAAGGGTGTGTGCAAAGTTTCAAGACGATAGCTTTAAAACTGAGAGACTAGTTTGCGTAGAAACAGACAGACGGACAGACGGACAGACGGACAGACGGACAGACGGACAGACGGACATGCTCATATCAACTCAGGAGGTGATCCTGATCAAGAATATATATACTTTATAGGGTCGGAGATGTCTCCTTCACTGCGTTGCACACTTTTGGACAAAATTATAATACCCTCTGCAAGGGTATAAAAAAGCAATTTCAATTGGCATAACAAGAAGCACTCGAGGCCAAAACAAAAAGCCAGGCCAGAAACAATTTCGCTTTGGTATTGCATAACAAAACAAAAACTTAACAAAACAATTGGCTCTGCTCTGATTTTGGCCAATATCAGTTGGTTTTTTGGCTATTTTTTCTGTTTTTTTTTGGAAGTTTGGGAGTCTTACGTGACTTCCAAACAGTAAATGCTTTGCGGCGGTATTTTTTCATTACTTTTTCCGATTTTCAAGTAGCCGAACTTCAGAACCAGTTCCAGGCTTTACTTTGCCACAAAAAAAAACCGCAACAAGATAAAAAAAAGGCCAAATCGAATTATTGGCAAAAATATTTTACCTTTCACCCGATTGGTAAACATTTTATGCTCCACATTTTTATTTTTATTGTTATTTGCTTAACATTATTATGGCCAAGCCGCAAAACTGCGTTCATAAATCATGTCCATATTACCAGACCCTCTTTGGAAATTCGGCAATTTTCTGTTTATTTTTTAAATAAGTTCAAGAAGCAAGTGTTTGCTTAAATTAAACACACTTTCAAGTCGTATATTTTGACCAGACTAATAACAAATATTTACATTCGAACTCATAATTGAAATGTCAGTCCGGAAGCAGAGCAATCTCTTTTTAGTTCCGTTTTTTTTGGGTTTTCTTGGCCACATAAATTTCTCAAGTTAATTGCTGCAATTTGTTGGGCGAAAGTGCTGCCATGATTGATGCCGGGCTTAAATATCAAATCACCTCACGATTAAACGGCCATAATAGCAATTGCTAGTGGGCGACCGAACCTCATTAGTGGCCATTAATTTGGTTGAGTAGAAAAAAGCGTAGACTTTTAACAAAATGGTAAAAAATATATATTCATCTTATAATTTCCTTCCTATTTTTTTTTGTGAGTTGCCTTGCTTGCTACCCATTTGCCATTCTCCATCATTAGTCCACAAGAGTATTGCCAATCTCCGATCATCTTCATGGCTCTCCGAGTTTTAACACTAACCCCATGGATTTGGCAACCTGCTGTGGAGGGATTCTTCCATGTATCTCTTAACTTTGACAGTTGCTTGGATGGCTTATGGTGGATGGCAGCGGATGGCAGCGAGGTTGCCTTCACATAAAAATTAAATAAATACGATCGCATAAATTATGCGGTTTTCGGGGTGAGGAGAGCACCCCAGTGGAGGAGGAGGGCAGGAGGGTGGTCGGGAAAAATTTGCAGAAAACGCTTTAGACAAATTTGAGAATCACTTGAATGACGCTGCGGTGGTTGAGAAGAGTTCGCACGCAAAACAATTGACAGCCGAGCAGACGAACCGCAGAGATTGCGGTTCCATGTTCCAACCTCCATGATCCGAGCTCCATGTCGAAACTGTAACAGTTTCCCATGACGCCAGTCGAGGCTGTGAACGGCGGTGGTGGTGCAGCTGCCGTGGCTAGCAGATTATTGCCAATAGTCAGACCCCAAGCCCAAATCCCGTAATCGTAACAATGCAGTGGGTGAGCTCTTATTAATTCACCAAAACCTCTTTTTTTTGCAGAATGAAAAGCGCCCAACGTCCAGCAGTCGTCCATTTGGCAATGGTGGCTTCTCCCCCAGTCGCACCCGTACCCAAGCTCCGGTTTCTGCCCAGCCGGAATCTCCCGTCACTCCCGCCGCCACGCCCTTCAGGCCGCGGAATCGCTACCAGCCTAGCAGTGCCACAACTTCATCCACCACAACCACGGGAAGTAGTGCCGAGGTGAGCAGCAAGCGGTACAATCGTTTCGGCAGCAGCCGGGTCAAGTCCACCACCAGCACCACATCCACCACCCAGAACACCCCGGCAGATCGTCCCAGTTTCGGCAGGAATAAGCCTAATCCCAGGCGGCCAGTGGTCATTAGTCGCGAGGTTAACGAGCCGGTGAGCACGGTCAGCAGGAAACCCTTCAACTACAGCGCCGCCAGGCTAAAGTTGCCCGCCCGACCCACTGCCCGGACGACCAGTACCACCGAGAGCGCCGAGCAGGAGGAAGAGGACGAGGAGGAGAACCCAGACGGTGAGCAGGAGGATGAGGATGCGGAGAACAGCGATGAGCAGTACGAGGAGAGTTACGAGGGACCCGACGAGCACTCGGAATCCTCCAGCCTGGAGAAGCTGCCGCTGCAGGAGGAAAACGTTACCCCACTGTCGGTGCCGAAGAATGAAGCGGAGCACTCCGAGGAACCTGCCACTCTGACCTCGAATCCAGTGATTGATCACGAGAGTAGCACCGCCAGCACGGAGGAAAGCCAAACGGATGCCTCCGAGGTCACCAGCGGGGAGATAGATGCCACCACCTTGGAACCAGAGAACGTAGAAGAGGTGGCCACCACACTGCTTCCGCAGGAGGATCTGCAGTCTACCGAGGATGCTCATGTGGAGGAACAAACCGTTACCACTGAGCCACCTCTGGAAAATACTTCCGAAGGCCTTAAATCGGTAGAGAACACATCTCAGCAGGAGGAGCAGGTTCCAGCCAAGCAACTGGACAAACAGGAGGAGAAGCAAACCTCTTCCAAGCAGGAAGAGCAATCCGAATCTGAATACGACGACGAAGGATCCCGGGGAGAAAGCGATGGCGAGGAATACGATTACGACGACGAGGAGGGCAGCGAGGATACCACCAGCGAGGCCGACAGCCAGGACTCGAAGCACTCCACTCCCAGTGCGGAGCAAGAAGAGGAGCGGGAGATCATCTCCGTGGTGACCACCAAGAGCGTGGTGAACGGATCCACAGTGCTCCCGGCTCCTGTCACGCCAAGTTCCAACACGATAACCGACGAGGAGCCTGAGGAAGAGCAATCTCCTGGAGAGTTGAAGCAAGACGAGACCACACCTCTGCCCTACGAAGAGGAAAAGGGAACCAACGCCACCGAGAACTATGTGGTTGTGGCCTCCATCCAGCCCAGCCGAAGCATCAACGGAGCACGCTTTTTGCCCTTCGACGGAATCGAGCAGGAGGAGACCAAACAGACCCTCTCCGAGCTGGAGCGCAAGGTGCACTCCAAGCAGCAGCCAACTCCCTCCCAGAAACCATCCGCCGACGGCAGCGAAGAGCAGGTCGCCAGCTCATCTGTCCAGCCCCCGACAGCCGCTTCGACGGAAAGCATCATCGACAAACTGGATCGAGTGCAGTCGGAGCTCTCTAGTGGCCTGCTGTCCGGAAAGTATCCTATCATCAGCCAGATGGATTCCTCCACACCCGCCACCAGCACCACAACCGGCACTGGCACTGGAAAATTCGTGCCCCACATCCGTAAGTTCCAGCCCAGGACGACGTCCGCCCCCAGCACCACCAAGGCCATTAAGGTCCAGCACTTTGACGAGGGAGAGATGGATGAACTGGCCGGTCTGCTTCCAGTCGGCTTCAAGCCCAAGGCCAGCTACAAGAACCGCAAGATCACCACCACCACCTCCACAACGGAGGCACCTCCATCCACGGTAGAGCAACCCAAATCCAAGCCAGGACGCAACTCGACCATCAGTAGATCTTTCAAGAGCGGCCAGGTTACCGTGCAGGATGTGGCTCTAGCGGGTCTCCTGCCCAAGGGCTACAAGCCCCCAAGGACAACGACCACCACTACCACCAAGAAGCCAGAGGAGATCAGCCCTAAGCCATCGTCCAGTTTGGAGAGTCTGTTCAGCGAAGTGAAGTTCGACGACAGCCTGGCGGCTCTGCTGCCCAAGGACTACAAGGTGGCCAGCACACCCAAGCCCGAAATTTCCGTTGTAGACGATATATCCAAGTTCCTGCCGCCTGGCTACAAGGCGAACACCACAACGCAGCCTAGCACCTCGACAACACCAAGGAATCTGCCCGTGGCAGTGCCCTTCGACGACTTAAGCAAGTTCCTGCCTCCCGGTTACAAGGCCCCCAAGGAGAAGGCAGAGGAGCCCAAGCTTCCGGAGGGAGTGACTCCCATTAAGCTGGACGACTTGAGTGACCTGCTGCCGCCGGGATTCAAGCTGAACGCCACCACGAAACCAGAGGCCAGCGACGTCAGTGACGAGATACCTGCTTCACTGCTGCCACCCGGATACAAAGCTAAGAAGCTTCATCCAGCCTCGACGACCACCACCACCACAACCACCAGCAAACCCAAGCCGGCAGCGTCCAGCACCACCGAGGCAACTGGATCCTCAGAAGGAGGAGGGGCAGGAGGCTTGAAGGTGGTCTTCCCGAAGGGCTTCCACAAGCGAGTCGGTGCCCATCGCCTGACCACGCCACATCCCTCTCAGGAGGGCGGCGCTTCCGAGCCGAATTCTAACGCCTCGCCTCCGGTGGTGATCAAGAAGGGTCCACCGACCAGGGCAACCACAGAGTTCACGGGATGGCCGACGCCACCCACTACCCCGCTCTCCATCGACAAACTCAATGCTCAGACCATTAACTTTGAGGACCTACTGACCGCCAGCGGAACCAGCAGCACCACCAGCAGCACTACTTCCACGACTACGACAACCACAACAACAACGCCACGACCCACCAAGCCTGGTCACTGCACCTCGGACTGCGACCTGGCGGCCACCATCAAGATCATAGACGGCGTGGCCTGGAAGCCGGAGCTACTGGACCACAACACCCTGGAGTGGAAGAATCTGGCCCACGAGCTAGAGGCACAGGTAGGTGCTCCAAACATAGAGCTCCGAATTCCATTCACACTCTTCTCTGTTTCCAGCTCAATGAGGTCTACTCCAAGGCCCCGCAGCTAAGCAACTGGTACAAAAAGGTGCGCATTGACAGCTTCAGCAAGGGCAGCGTCCTGGTCGACTACTACGTGGAGCTGGCCAACATAAACGAGGATGTGGATACTCTGGAGATCCGGCAGTTGTTCCATGATGCCCTCACCAAACCGACTACACCCGCTGTGCCCGATAAGGATGCCCAGGAAAATGAAACAGATAGTGTGTCGGGACCGCAGGAGGAGCAGCTAGTCACGGCCAGCTACCAGATGGGCAAGTTCCTGATCGATCCCGTGGCCACCGATTTCAGTGGTTCGTATAGGAAATAATAATCCTTTTTCTGAATGATATTAAGGCAAGATTTCTTTACAGTCATCGCCAAGAATGTCCACACGAATGTGGAACTGGCCGAGGAGGATCTGCTGATACCCCAATGGGCCATTGTTGTGATTGTGATTGGAGTGGGTTCCCTGGTCTTTGTCATCATCTTTGGTGTTACAGTGGTATGTTTAAAGGACATCCTTTCTTTGAATTATTGCCTTCTAATGATATCCTTTTCGGCAGCTCCTTAATCGTCAAAAGAGGGCCAAAAAGGCACCCATTCCTCTGACCAACGACATGCTGAACGAACTGAAGGTGAACCATATGGGTGGTGTGGACAACTACGGGGTGGACGACTTCTATAATATCGATGATCCTTGGAACGATACCAAGCAGCCCATTAAGCCAAAGGTAAGCTCTGACAAGTTATTGAAAGGAAATCCTATTAAATGCCATCTTTTAGCGGTTTACCAACTCGATGCATGGTAGCAACAGCTCCAATATCTACGACAGCTGGCGCTCCACCCGCCATCCGCACAGCAGTGGAGACTACTTCTATGACCAGCAGCCGACCTACTCCACGAAGGGTGACTCCCTGAAGCGCCCGCACCACCACCACAGCAACCACAGCCAGTATCCCGCCCACCACCATCACCAGCAGCCCCAGCAGCAGCACCAACAGGCGTACGGACACCAGTATCCGGATGCCTTCGCCGATGCCCACCAAATGTACAGCTACAACAACCATGCGAGTCGGACGCGCTACTCCCGCGACTACGATCCCGACTTTTGAATGGGGGCCAAGGGTATACGCGATCCGACATCTGAGATCCGAAACCCACCCACCCAGACTGGACCATCAAGATCCATCCGTGCACTAGCTTTAGTAACTTGCGAACGATTTTGAGTTGTAACTTAATAGCGTAAAGGATCGTAGTTGTAATGCTGCTGTAATTTATCGTACTGCCTGCTGGCTTGGCTCAAAAGTCCTTCCACTTTTCTGCACCCACAGCCAGCCGTAGCTAAACTAAGTTAGGATATCTCTCGAGAACCCAATGGAGCTACTACATACATCTGCGTATGTATCTGGATGCCTTACACTTTTACTTAATCTACGGATAAAGAGAATATATATTTTCTTAATAGAACTCTAAATAGGGGAACATGCCTGTATGCATGACCCCAGAAAAATAAATAGTCATGCACTCTTAGTTAATCCTAGCCACTAAGCTAAAACTAGAAACACTACATGTATACTTTGTATTATTTAAAGTACTGGCGTCTTGCTATAATACTAATATTGTCTATATTACGGCAAGTAAATAAAAAATTATATAATACAATTCACAAATAAATAAAAATTAAAATTTAAAAAAAAATTAGAATTGCCGAAACCCGGGATTGAACCGGGGACCTTTAGATCTTCAGTCTAACGCTCTCCCAACTGAGCTATTTCGGCGGATGGAAGGTTGGTGACAAAAGCGCATGTTGGGGGCTCCAGCTAAGACATAGCATATTGATGGTTGGTGTCTTTGCTATCGCTACTTTAAGTTTTCCAACACTAAACCTCTACGAAAACATTCTAATTTATTTTCCTTGATATAATTATATTATTGTCTTCTAATTAACAAAAAAATAAATGTTTGAAAGATACTGCAGAGCATTAAATAGCCCTTTTATTATAAAAAATAAAATATAAAAGTAAAAAAAGATTACTGCTTGCCGAAACCCGGGATTGAACCGGGGACCTTTAGATCTTCAGTCTAACGCTCTCCCAACTGAGCTATTTCGGCTTACGGTGGGTGTGTGTCAAATGGCAATTTTCACAATCAACCCCTTTTTATTTGTTTTTTTAACGTAAGAAAACCAAATAACTCAAATATATTAAAAACAATTTCAAAAAATAAGCACTGGTTATTAACCAGTAAAATAAATTTAAATAATCGAACAAAAAAGTATTCATTGCCGAAACCCGGGATTGAACCGGGGACCTTTAGATCTTCAGTCTAACGCTCTCCCAACTGAGCTATTTCGGCAGTTGTCCGTTATGTGACTAAAATAAGCTTTCGTTGGCCCCAGCCTGAGAACCTTTTCAGAACCTTTCCCAACTTTTTCTGAAAGTTTTAAATATTTAAATAAAACAAGGTACGCATTTTTTATAAGGCTCGTTTATTTATTATTAATCCCTTTTGGTTAATGCAGCTGAGTCCTTGTCAATGTGCGCAGAATTACTGCCTCAGAATTCTTAGTGTCTCACATCCTAATATCTCGCTAAAGCTAAAGAGTTAACGATCGATTTGTGTTGTATTTTCCTTTTGTTTTGGGAGCGTTAAGTCTATAATCTGATTGGATCCTTGCGGCTCAATTAAAAATCAATAAATCTCACATATGCACTACATTTTTGGGGGGTTTTGGGCGGGAAGGTCGGTTCGGGTGGGGTGGGGTCACTTAAATAACTACCAATTGTTTCGGTTTTAATTAAAGTCAGATAAAAATTTTCACTAATATCACCTTCTAGAAATTTGTCCAATTCGTTTTTCGTTTAAAAACTGATGTAAATATTTATGTATATATGTACGTATGTATGTATATTGAAGATGTATGTACGTGTATATGTAATTTGATCCTTAAGAGCTTTGATTTTGGCATGACACAGCAGAGCACGAAATTAGGAGCAACCAAAAGGGTAATTTTAAATAATTTGCATTTATTTAGAAATTAAAAAATAACTAATGAGTAATTTTCAAGTGTTTTTTTGGAGTCGCTAATCAATTTTACACACAATATGTGATTGAACAATAATGAAAATGAGGATGATTTGATGAGCGGGATGGGTTTTGTGTGCGTGTGTTTAAGTATACATGAATTTAAGGACAATTTAAACAATAATTAAAAACTTAGCAGTGATCTCGATCGATTTCCGTTTATAAATGTACAAAATGTGATTAATAAACATAAAAAATATGTGTATAATATTAAACTAAAGAAAAGCACAATAATTGCCGGTCCGATGCCTTCAATTAAAAATTTCGTTACGCCTAATTATCAACTATGATATATGTATAATCTTGTATAATTTTATGTATAATTGGTTTCGTAATATTTAAATCTACAATTTATATAACACGCGCCAAGACGTAAACAAACAAAGGCCAGGGTAGACTTCAAGATAGAATTAGAAATATAAATGTATATAATATATATATATATATTTGTCTGTGTGGGGTGTGAAAGTGTATATACTCGTATATATATGCACTTGGTAACTATGTATAAGATGAGTCGGTATACACTCGTTAAATAATTAATTTTCAACTGCAAAACGAGCAGCACACAAGCTTAACCAGTGCTGCGGTAAACAGTCTATCAACAAACAAATTAAAATAAGAACTAATCATCGTGACCGGAGGGGTCAGAGTAAAATTTTGATTTCAAATCGCCATGATATATGTGGTTTTTGTTTTACGTGTATTAGATATATTCAAATAGGTTTCTATGTATATGCATATGCGTGGACAGGGGGTGTTTGCGGGTGTTGGTATTGGGATCTCCGGGCTACTACTCCACGGCAAAGCCGCAGGTTTCCTCCACGGCCTGCGTCAGCTTGTCGCAGAGCAGCTGGTAGGTCTCGTAGGGCGGCAAGTCGATCCGGTTAAAGCAGGTGTGCGCCTTGGGCAGATTTTGTGTGGGCACGTCGGCCGTCAGGTGGATAGTGAACAGTCGCGGTCCCACCGCACCCGTAGAGCCTTGCAGGGCCCGGAAGCCTTGCAACGGCACCCGCGACGATCCCGTCACAAACTGCAGCAATCGGGCACGCATCTCAGAGCTATAAGACTCAACCACCTAAAAGATATTGAAAGGATTCTCATTAGTAATTAAAGATGGTATGTTGTCTGTGGGATTACTGACCTGCCAGAACCACAACACTTGCGTCGTTTCGTTCGTACAGTGCTTCAGTCTCGTATTGTTTCGCCAATCGTTGACATCGATGCTGGAGATGCCACCGATGACCAATTCCAGTTCACGCTCATCAAATGGTCGTAGAAGATGGCTTGGTATAAGCTCGCAAAAACCTAAACACAAAGAATAATTAACATTCTAAGAAAAGAAAGCACTCCCAGATAATACTAACCTTTCTGTAGAGCCAAAAATTGCTGCTCAATGCCGCGCATAAAACGATAGTTTACATAGAGCTTCACATACTCCCTCTTGTTCTCCTCTGTCACGGTAATAGATGCCCCTCCTGGCTTCAGTTCGTGCACCACAAGAGCGCCAAAGCTATTGTTCTCCACACTGAAAGTGGACTCGATGATGCCGCTTATGTTGCTCTCCCTGAAAGTCAAAAAGGAAGGATTAGTAAGGAAATCCAAGAAAGCTATAGCTTCATTCTTACAGCATCCAGGTTAGGCTGCGGTGCAGCTCCGGATCCACGCCCTCAATATCACCCAGCGTAATTGGCTTGTTCAAGAGCTGCTTGTAGAAGGGCGTGGTGAACCCGCCGTCCAGACAGTGCCCATGGAATACGGCTATGCCCAAGGTGCGTCCCACAAAGTGAAAGTACGACAAGTGGTCTGGATTCACCCCGGAATCCGGGTTTATCTGCAGCGTATAGTGATCATCCCGGCTGTATTGGAATAGACCGTACTGCGGATTCAGCATCTCCCGGGAGAGTAGGTGCAGCCACTCGCGGGCCACGCCGCCGTAGTCGAGGCCCTCCTCGCCCTTGAACTTGACCATCAGGCGCTTCCGCATGTCCTTGGCCCGCATCTTCATAATCAGTCTATAGCTCTCCTCAAAAATCTCGTTGCGCGACACCTCCAGTCGGCAGTGACCGGACTGCGGCTGCATAGTCTGCAGCTCGGTGCGCAGGGCTCGCAGCTTGCCAACCAGATCCCTTCGGTACTTGGGCAACAGGTCGGCGCCCTCGAGCAGGCCCTGCGGCAGGTCCGGCACAATACGATGTGGGGTGTTTGTAGTGGTCGTGGCGTTGTTCGTGGTTGCAGTGGGTGTGGCGGGAGCAGCAGACGCAGCCGTGGCAGCAGCTGGTGTCGCCGGCGCTGGCGTACTTGCGGCAGTGGCAGCTGGTGGCACTGCCCCACGACGAATCATCTGCAGTATACTGCCACTCAGCCGGGGATCAGTGAACTGCGTCGTCCGGTTGTTGTGGTCCACAAAGTAAATTCTCCCGGACGCCGTCTTGCGTTGCTCCCAGCCGCTCGGCAGTGGTCCGATGGCGTCCAGCGTCAGATGTTGGGTATCGAAGTCGCGCGGAATCCGAGGATCGTGCCATGTCGATACACCCGTGGGTATGTGGTAGAAGTACACCTGGCCCTGCTGCGTGGTTCGCATCTCATAGCCCGGAGGAAGGTCCAAGAATGGACGAGCCGCCTGGTTGGCAGCTGCGATAGCCGCCGAAGCGTAACGCTGGCTAGAGCTACCGCCGCCGCCTCCTCCAGATGTGGTGCTTCCGTTTCGGGTTCCCCGCGAGGATCGACGTCTGGTGGAGGATTCCTCACCCTGCTGCCTCGAGCTGCGTCGCTGAGAACGTTGACCAGGTGTGGCCGCAGTGTAGGATCTACTGCTGCCACCTCCAGGTGTACTGTTCGCATTCGGACTGTGCACATTACCATTAGCCGAAGGCGTCACCGCTGCCGGTGGCGATGTATTGGGATTGGGAGGACTCTGGCTGTGGCGCGGAGGTGTGGTAGTCGCAGTTGTTGTTCCACTGGTCACGGCATCCTCTGGCGTCCATCCATTGCTGGCGCTCTGGGGCTTGGCCGCCTGACCGCTGCCGTTTCCGCTACTGCTCCCGTTTTGGGCATTACCATTGACGTAGTTCTGTTGCCCCGTGGGCGAAGTGGGCGTGGCCTCTGGCGGAGAATGGCCATTTGTTTGATGCTTTGGCGTCTTTACGTGATTGTCGTTGCCGTGCAGCCGGGTGTTGCTGCTGGTTGGAGTGGCTGGTTCGTTTGTGGCCCGCTGCTCCAAGGCTCCAGTTCGTCCGCCCGAGGAGGAGGAGTTCGAATTGACGGCCGAGGACTTCTTACCAGGCGTTGCCGCCGACACCGGCGTTGTGGGGCTGGTGTTCTCCTTTCCCACGCTCGACAGGATCTCCGTGGAATGACGCCGCTCGTCGCTCGCATTCGCCGAAGGATCCCTATTGCGGTTGCCGCCATTTAGCAAGTTAGTGCAGGTTGTGGATCGCGTGGGTCCTGCCGGCGCCTGCCGATCGCTATTGTTGCCATTGTGGGTGTGATGGCGCTGGGTGCCTCCAGCTCCCACTGGCTGTCTGGGCCTATCCCACTGCGTCGACTTGGTGGCATGGTTAACGTAGTAGATGCGCCCGTTGTCGGTGCGCCGTTCCTCCCAGCCCTCGGGCAAGCTGTCCTCCGACGAGTCGTCCTCCGAGGGTCCCCGGACATCGCCGCTGGGGCCCACAATGGCCAGCGGGTTGCCGCTGCTGGGGCCGTCCTTCGACAGCAACGATATTATAATCTGACCTCGCACCAAGTCATCGTCATCCGGCGACAGTTTACCCAGATCCAGTCGTTGAACTAAAACAAAGAGGTTGTAAGTAGTGGAAGGAGTGTATGGATAGGGCTACTCACATCCTGCTCCTTTGAGGCTCTGGATATTGAAGGCTGGAATCCTCACACACCCCAGGAAGCCACTGCTCTTGTGTATCTTGCGCTGATTCCACACGGTTATGGTGATGGCGTCCCCAATGCCCAGAAACAGGTCGTAGTGTGCATTCCATTTCGGGTCCAGGGAGGACTTGCTTATATCCGTCGTGTAAACCTGACCAGTGCCATCCACTTGAACCTTGGCAAAGGGATCGGGCATGCCTGCAGAGAGTTAAGAGTTTGTTCAAAACGATCCGTGATATAATTTCGCTTTATAACTAATGATATGATGACGGGTAATAGCCCTTAATTGCATTTTTTACAAAGCCCATATTGTTGTGGGAATTGGTTCCATTTAACACCAGACATTGGATATAAAGAGTGTTATATTGGATCTGCCAGCCATTACTTCTCACGAAACCAGTCTGCCGGTTCGGTTTCTCCTCCAACATGCTCTACTGGCGGTTCTTGGAGTTCCTATTTTTGTTTACCTTTTTGGGGCACACTTCCGGCTACAGCCATGTACACCCCGGCTTTGCCCAACGCCTGCAGATTAAGCCCCTCTGCTTGCAGGTCCCCCAGCGCTACACCGAATCTCCACCACCAGCACAAGCTATAATCTTTTCTTCCTTGGAAGAGGTCAGAAAAGCAGATGCTGATTAAAAACCACCGAGAGAATAAGTTCCCCCCCGATTGTGAGTTCCCGTTTTCGAAATAGTCTTATCGCCGGGGGTCGGACTAGGCGGAGGAGAATCTATAAAAGCACAGCCACTTCCAGGCTAATCATCACACTCGCAATGGCATCTACGTGGCTTCACCTGCTGGGACTGCTGATGCTGTGCCTAGTCTTGGCCACAGGATCGGCCAAGCCTTTCGATTCCAGGCGCAACAGGAACTGGGGCAGCGGACAAGGACCACCTCCTAGGATCCCCACAACACCGCCCTTCAATCCCCACGGCTGAGAAACAAAGTCACCCTTCTTTGGAGATCAATTCCAGCTACAAACTAGTGCACTGTTCTGTTAGATCTGAAGAATGCTTCAATAAATATGTTTACATCTCTGCACCAAACGTAAAGGCGGTCAAGTGCCATTAGCCAGGGGGCGCAGACATTAGAATGGAAACAAAAGTACCAAGACAAGGGGGAGTCTATCTGCCAATCTCCGCTATCAGTACTGAAATAGGAACCCCCATTGCCGCATCGCTAATGCTTATCTCGTCTTGGGCGACCGCCGCTCGCCGATAATGCCTCCAATCTTGACAAATTAGGCGCTCGGCATTCCGACTGAATTAAACAATTAAGAACTATCGAGCCAGGGCCAGTGATTCGTCCAGAACACCGACCTGACCAAAGAAAACCAGTCCCTCCCAGTCTGGCAGCCGCTGACTCATCTAGAGCCGGTACTGGTCGCCTACTTCCGTGGGTTTTTCGCACTCCCATATTTGTAGGCATATCGTTATCTCAAGGCTGTAGACGCCGCCTGGGGTTTCGGGTTTTGGGGCAAGTCAGAAACAGGATCATCAGCCCATCAGCTGGTGGGGATACCACAGCCAGCACAGGTAACTTGAGAAGACCACAGCTGGTGGGGGATTTTATGCCAGAATGGAGTGAAGAGGCATAACCGAGACTAGCTTATCCAAAAAGAGATGTAGGGATTCTGTCTCCACAAGTCCCACACCCACCAACCATCTGCTCTCCTCCTAAACCTTACTTAACCCTTGTTCTTTGCTTTCTTCACGGCTCAACTACCTGAAAAGTGAAGAAACTAAAGCTTTTGCCGTCAACGGCCAACAACCCTATTTTGGACTTAACGCTACGTGGCACAATTTAGTGGCCCAGTCGGCAGGGCGAGGAAGTTAACGACTGGCTGCACTTTCACTCGGAACGCGACCGGAAGCCAACACTCAGTGGAGCATGAAGCCAGCCACATGCCACTGGCGGAGGAGATGGGTTGTTTCAGAGCAAACGGTGATATGGCTGGCACGCTTTATTTTGGACAAATATCCCGCTGGGCATCGGCACAAGTGGGAATAGTTTGGCAAGGAAACTTCGTGGGTACTGCGGCTGCCGCCTCGCGATCGGCCTTTGCTCGGCCTTGGATCCTCTGCTCGATAACAGGCCGGAAATGGCGAATGAGTCCTTGTGGCGGCCAGGCGGCACCGTCGCCCAGGGCGCAGATGGTGTGGCCCTCGATTTGCTTGGTGATCTCCCACAACATGTCGATCTCTCCGACCTGCGCCTGTCCGGTGACGAATCTCTGCATGATCATGTTCACCCAGTGGAGGCCCTCGCGACAGGGCGTGCATTGTCCGCAGCTCTCGTGCTTGTAGAAGGCGGCCAGCCGCGCAATGGCCTTGATGATGTCTGTGTCCTTGTTCATCACAATAATGGCCCCGGTACCCATGGACGACCTGACCGCCATCAGGCCATCGTAATCATGGATGGCCTTCTCCACATCCGCCTTCGGAATGCACGGCGTCGAGGAGCCGCCTGGAATAATGGCCAGCAGGTTATCCCAGCCACCCAGCACCCCGCCGGCATGGCGTTCTATCATCTCCCTTGTGGGCATGGACATCTCCTCCTCGAAAGTGCATGGTTTGTTGACATGTCCCGATATATTAAAGAGCTTGGTTCCCGAGTTGCGAGTGCGTCCAAAGCTGGCGAACCAGGCGCCGCCACGCCGGCAGATGGCGGGGGCTACGGCCACCGTCTCTACATTGGTCACCGTCGAGGGACAGCCGAAGGCCCCAATGTCCGCGGGAAAGGGGGGCTTGTTGCGGGGCTTGCCAGCCTTGCCCTCGAGGGACTCGATGAGGGAGGTCTCCTCCCCGCACACATAGGCTCCGGCTCCGCGCTGCACGTAAAGATCAAAGTCGAATCCCGAGCCGCAGGCATTCTTTCCCAGGAACCCCTTCTTGTACGCCTCCACGATGGCGAACTGCAGGTTGCATGCCTCGTTGTAGAACTCGCCGCGAATGTAAATGTAGCCGGCGTTGGCCCCCATTGCCCTTCCGGCGATGAGGCATCCCTCCACCAACTTGTGCGGGTCATGGCGCATAATCTCACGATCCTTGCAGGTGCCAGGCTCTCCCTCGTCCGCGTTGACCAGCAGAAACTTGGGACGTCCATCTGGGGGCTTGTGCATGAAAGACCACTTGAGGCCACTGGGAAACCCGGCGCCACCACGTCCTCGCAGTCCCGAGGTCTTGATTTCGTTGACGATCCACATGTCGCCCTTTTCGAGGATCTCCTTGGTTTTGTACCAGTCTCCTCGCTTCATGGCCCCCTTGATGGTCCAATCGTGCTTCCCGTATAGGTTCGTAAAGATGCGATCAGCGTCGGCCAGTGGACCGAAGGTGGTTTTTGTTTGAGGTGGTGGTGTTCCCGGTGGTGGAGCTTTCGGGGGAGGCGGCGGACCTTTGGCGGGAGGGGCTCCACCCTTGGCTGGAGGGGCACCGCCCGTTGGAGGAGGGGGTGGAGGCGGAGGAGGAGGAGGTGGTGGCGGTGGCGGCGGAGTTTTAGATGCTGGGGGCTTGGCGGGTTCCTTGGCTTCCATTGGAGGCTTCGTATCGCCAGAATCAGAAGAAGTGTCCTTCTTCTTTTTAGCTCGCTTCTTCTCCTCGCAGTCCCTTCTTATTTGCCTAATTACACTCTGGGCATTCCTGGAGTTCTCCTTGAGCCGTTTTACTAATCGCTGCTTGTAAGCTTCCTTTTCAGCCTGATCCATGAACCTCTCGGCCTTATCCTTTAATGGAAAGTCTTCTGTGCGCGGCGGAGCCAGCTCAGGCCTTTCCGGAAATGGAACAATCGGCCCGGAAGCCTTTTCCTTCAGTATTTGCAACAACCTGGCTTCATGGGCCTGCTGTTCCTCGCAGGTTCTCCACTTAACATATTCCTTGACTGGAAACTTTGTGAGAACTGGCTCCTTCTTCTTTGGCTCCTCATCAGAGCATTCTTCGCTATCGTCCGCTCGTAGTTGATATCTTGGGAAGTAGATTCCAATGCTCTCGGAGTAGACTATGCCTGGATCAAGGTAAATAGCTTCTCCCAATCTATCCAAATCCTTTAATGAGTATGAGCTTTCATTAGTTTTTACTCCAGGATGTGAATCAGTTACCTTGTTCTTCACCCTGAGTGGGTCTTCCTGATCTATCCTAGTCTGCTGGAGAGTCTTGCTCCATATTTTCCATTCATTTCCATCTTTGAGTCTCTTGATCTCTGAAAAAGCTTCGCGCCGGCGGATCAAGTTCAGGGAAACTCTCAAATTAGAGGAAACTGGACGGCGCAATAGCGAGGAAATCATGTTTCGTAATTTTTCGTCTATATCCGGTTGTCTAAATTTTAGTTTGAGCCACTGGATCTATCCCGCTAGTGATAGGAAGAGCCTGGCCTACTTTGCCAAGAAAAAACCCCTTGTGTGGTGTCAATGTTAGTCATTGCCGTTTCATAACAGCCATAAATTGTGGGCCCTGTTTCCAACCAATCTATTTATAACATTGCAAATTACCAAAAATCCATAGTAAGACCGCCAAGCATGGATTTTCCAGCCAGTGACGAGTGGTAGTGGGTAATCTAATCAAAGACAGTCGATAAAATATAAAGATACTGACGGCGAGCGAAGCAGAAACATAGATCCAATCTCAATATGCATGGAATGTTGGTCACTAGAACTGCCATGGCATCTGCCATTGGAGGTGACAGGCACGCAGCCCATCTTGGGCATCTCCATGATCCCCAAATCGGAATCTCCGCTATATAGTACATATAGCAGGTATTGAGCAATGCGTGGCGCGTGATTTAAGTGCAGCCGAGTGTAAAAGAAAATAATAAATAACAAATACAGGGAAAGGAATATTATGACGGCAGTGTTTGTGTTTCTGTTGGTGAGCCAGCGAGCCAGCGAGCGAGTGAGTGAGTGAGCCGCAGCAATGAAAGCAAATTAGTAATAATCACTTTTGTTATATCTAAACAAAATATGGAAAAAGAGCTCAGATATGGATCCACAGACGAACACACTGCCGAACAGCCAACACACAATCACCTACTCTATTTAATGGAGGGAAAGGGGAATGGGGAGTGGGCGCTGGCCCGCCCCTTTTCCGCAATTTGTATAAAAAAAAAACGACGAAAATGAAAGTAGACAAAAGGAAGTGCTAAATTTAGCGATACCCCTCATATGCATAGATATGTAAGTGCGAAGAGGGGCAGGCAGGCAACGCCAATAAAACAAAACTTTAATTTGCCACAAAATGTGTTTTGATTGGATTGCCAAACAGGTGCGTAATTGATCGCTGTTTAGTTTAGAGCTTTAGAGCTGGTGAAATGCTTGAAATTCCCAGAAAGTTTTCCACTTTTTTTAGTTCAAATAACTAACTCCCCGTGAGTCAAGTCTAATTACCCAAAACCTAGTCAAAGAAATGACTTAATTTATTAATTTGTAATAAATTTCATGGAAATACTTACGAAACAAATCCTTGCGAGCCAAGTTTCTAGCACACAATACTAAAAAAAAAGGATTATCATTAAAATGTATTAGTTTTTAATGATTTTCGTTAAAAACTTACTCGTTATTCGAACTTTGTGTGTACCATTGCGACGCGGGTAATCCAATTTATTCATAATTTCCGACTTTTAATTGATATTGTTTGGCTTATATAAAAATAAATTGATTTATTTTGTATATTGATTATTTATTTAAGCGACAATTGCACGAGACGGGCATGGTTAGTCCGCATGGAGCTCTAGTGGCTGGTTCTCGGCCGGAGAACGTCGGAGTGTGCAGAGAGCTGAGTGGGAGGAGGCGGCGGAAACGATGGCGGAGGAGGAGGAGTAGGTGGCGAAGGTGGCAACAAATTGTTTCATTGCCGAAGGTACCCGCTGCTGGTGCTGCAGTTGTGTTGGTCGGCGGCGGCGGCGCTACCTTTGTTACTTTTGCTGTTGCGGTAGCCTTGAAGGTTGCAATTGTTGTTGTTGCTGCTGCCGTATGTCATTGCACACGCATAGATATATTAATAATACCACCTATTTTCTGGTTATTACAAGCTGCGAAGCAAGATAAAAAATTAAATGAGTATTATTAACGAATTCTCTGCCAAGTTAAGAGACCTAAATCAGGTATAGGGTTTGTTTATATTCCATCTCTTTGCGATTTCGCCATTAAAGTGCAAGGCCCAGCCCAAAAAGCAAAGGATATACATATTTATACAGATGTGAGAAGGAATAGTGTGGGTAAGAAATACACCTTCCGATCGCGCAGGTAGCCAAAATGTGCACGCAAACGAGAAAACTCACCCGAAATTGTTTTGCCGTTTGGCTACAGTTGCTTATTTTTTGTTGGTTTTGTTGCTTTTGTTGCCGTTCCAAAAACACCTCACACGCACACACACACACATACGCCCTCACGCATGCTGCAGATGAGTGAGACAGCAGGGGGAGGAGAACTGGGTCCGTCTCACTTATGTATTATTTCATAAATTGCATTAAATGAAATTCCACTAGGCGTTTAATTAACTTTAATTTAGACGCTGCTCCTGTATGGGTGCCACACTATAAACTATTTACTCGCACTCGTATTTTTCGGTCTCAGTGTATGCGTGTGCCAGTGTGTTGGGTATAAAATTTGCAATAATAACCAACTGAGCCAGAATTTTAGGACTCCCATTCACTTGAAATTTTGCGATAAACAGCCGTTCGAATAGCGCCACCCACTCGCAATCACGTCCACGGATCGGTCGGGTATTCGCGAAATAAGCTGCCGCGGCGACACGCGTTATTGTTTTATGGTTTCCTTAAATAGTTTAACCATCTAAAGAAGTTAAACTGAACGCCATTTTTATTGTTGTTCCCAGTGTGGCCGAGTGTGGACTATTAAGACTTACCGTCCGCTGGCAAAAGAATATACTGTGAGTATACCAAGAAAGAACCTATCGGAACTCTATAATGCCTTCGATCTATAATATATATTTGCTATATTACATATAGAACAAATGTTTCATTTTTTTACAAGTTGTACGACCATATTTTTTACCATGTTTTTACATGAGAAAATAAAAATATCATGTAACAAATGTAACTGTTTTATACATCTAAACTAGGACGGAATTTTATTTCTTCTTGAGAATTCCTACGTAAATTGGAACAACGATTCCATTGTATAATTAAAACAAAATGTATAGGATCTTTAAACGACCAAACTATATATTTTTTTCGCGCCTCTAAATCAAATTCAAGAATATATAAATTATAAGCTCCGGTCACACTAATAAATTTCGCGCTGTAAATTCGGAAAATAAACAATGTCGATTACTTTAGATTTTAATGGCAAAAACTTGGCCAAAAGTAAAACATTGGATTTGCACTATTTACCGGCGAAGATAGACGGAGATGGTGAAGCCAACGTGGAGCAATATTTCAATAACTACACGAGGGAGGCCACCGACTACGGAAGCGGCGTGTTTACAAATGCTCTGCGCGGCTATCCACTGATGGGACAACAATTGAAAGTTCCGGAAGGATTCAAGGGTATAGTGCTGCAGGAAACGGAAAAACCCTTGAGCGAGTCTTCCGACCGGCAGCTACGTCTTACAGGAGTTTTTGATGAGTTTACTTACTGGAACTACGACAAAGTACCCTCCAATGGCGATGCTTACCGACAGGCCCTGCTCATGTCAGATGTGGCTCAAGCGGTAAGTTAAACCACTTTATTTAAACAATTTCAATACATTATTTTAAATCCTCAGCTTGCACAACCCATTAACGAAAAGGACTTGGAGGCAGAAATCGCCAGAAACAAAGAGAACACAAAAGCCAGCCCATAAATTCTTATGCGCTTACAGCGTTTATTTATATAGTACTCCAAAAGCTAATCAAATATGTATTCTTACAAATCGTAAAATTTATAAAAAAGTATAAATATCCCAAAAGTTTTCTCACTCATCTGCGTCCTCGAATCGCTCGTCGTCGTCATCCAGGCTGAGATTCTGCATCCCTCCCACCTCGCCACCGTTGCGTCCAAGCGTGAGAGCGTCCTCCTCCATGTCCTCATCATCCATGCCCCCGGCATCCTCCATAGCATCGCTGTCCTCCGAGTTGCTGTCTGCCGAATCTGGATGGAGAGCCTGACATGTGGTCATAGCGTTGTACATTGTGTCCACCGTGTGGATGTCCTCGGGCAAAAGCCAGCACTCAGTGACGAAATCCTCATTGATGGCGTCCTCGAACTCATCGCTTCCGTTTCCTTCGTCTTCGTCTGCTTCCGCCGGATCAGCCCCATTTTGGCCATTGACGGCGGGCACGGCGGCTGGCCATTCGACCTTGTGGTCCAGCATAAAATAGATGCACTTCCGCGGATTCGAAGAAATTCCGTGCAGGCTCACCTGCTTCCACTCGATAGATATGCCATCCGGCAAATCGCTTGGCTGCCATGAAAGCGTACTACAAGGGGAAGGGAGAGTGGGTTAAGCGACAAAAACAAGACCAGACGCCGGCTTTTTGGCACTTACTTTTGAGCGATATAAATCGTGCCTTCCCCCACGATTTTGTCGCCCAATTTTAGCTTGATGTTGTTGGAGGTGTAAAGCAAACCATGCTCTGGCGGAGAAATGGGCATTATAAGCACCATTTTAATATATAAATTGATAAACGCGGGATCAAAAATAAATTTAGTCTTGTTGAATACAGTGTTGCTGTCTTCTTGCTTTAGAGTTGCGCTATTTTTGCCAGACATATCACAGATAACCCGTTTTTCTTCAGTGTATGGTTCAAGTCTTGACTTCCTTTCATTTTTCGTGTTTAATAATTTATTGGTATTTTATATTTTAAAAAATTTTTTAGCCTTAAAATCTTTACCTAATAAGCTTTTCAATTAAAAAGATAAAAACATCAATAAAAATGGAATCTAAAACATTGAATAAAAAAATAAATAATGTTTATCCAGTACCTTAAATAGCGATATAGGTTTATAATTTAAAGTTAAATAGGTTTAATTTTATTTCGTACGATTATATACTTAATTACATTAGATAGATACAAATAATCTAAAAAATAATGAGTAATGTGAAACATTAAAATAAAACTTTTTCCTGTGTCTTCTCATATGGCACATATTCTTATTCATTTTTTTTTTGTATTATATTAATTAAAACTCAAAAATAAAACAAAGTTTAACATGTTTACAATATAATATTTTCAATTAATTTCAAGTTTGTCCCAATAATATTACAATATAATATTTTCAATTAATTTCAAGTTTGTTCCATTTTCCCGCAAAAGGTCTGCTGATCTTAAATTTTCAGCTTTTCCACTAAAAAATACCAAAATAACAGCAAAAAAAAATTACCCATGGCCACTTTGATGCCCTAGTAGCTGGTCACACTAATCGCGATTGAACGAACGTCGTGAAAAATACGTTTAATTATTAAGTTAAGTGCGACAAATAAAAAAATAATTAAATCGGTATAAATACGTCGTTTTGTGGTGTTTGAGCGATTCTTTTGAGTGCGGGAACCAAACACAACAAAAGATAACGAAAAATCTAGCCAAAAAATCGGAAAAGGCCCTCTGTGAAAGCAATACAAATTTTATTTAAACCGCAAGTGAATGCCACAAAACAAACAAAAGATCGAGGCAACAAAGGAACATCAGCGCTCGTGATAGGAATTTCAATTATTTTGTAAGTATTCTTGGTAAAGCCATCGTAAAGGATTAATATTTGGGAATTTTGATTATTGTTTCTCCTGCTGCTGCTGCTACAGACACGCAAAAACCAACACAATCAAACCAAAAATTGTGAAAAACAACTCGCACACACAAAAACGTCTGATCGCGGAGAGGCAGTGCAAAAAATAAAAGCAATAAATAACATATCAGCACACATATGCAACAAGTTGTGGATGCGTTTTCAAGGGGGAGGGAGGGAAAGGTGTGTTGGGTGGCTTTCCAAAGTTTCCCAACATTTTTACTGTTCGATTTTGTCTTTTTTTTTTATCTACTATTGCGTAGTGTCGCTGCCAATGTCACCTGTTTTTATGCCCTCTCTGCTCGCACTTGTTGCGCTCTCTCTCGCTCCCACACTAGCTTTAGCTGGTTTTTATCTTGTGCCGTTTACAGTGATGTTTATTTGGCGGTTTTTCGGCCACTATGTTAAGGCCAAAATACCAATTTAGATGAAGATCTCTTATATTGTTAATTATTAATGAAGACTGGTTAGGACAACAAGTTTTCCTCAAATATAAAGAGCATTTAAACATAACTTATACTCCAAAAATAAAGTCTGACAATCCTTTGGCCCAAGGAATGGGCATCACTGACCGTTAACCACGATCTACGTGTCCCTGTCGCACGTCCACTGATTGCAACGGTCACTGTGTTGGTAAACAGCGGCAGTGTGTGTATTTCCGCCTGATGATAACAGCAAAACTCCCTCGAAATGGCCTTAATTCTTTTGGAAATATGTAAACTAAACGCCAACTCACCAACACCAATGTATATTTCTAATCGAAAAGTGCAAATATTGATTTTTTATGTGGTCTTTTTTTTATAACAGCCCACTATCAATAACAATGGGCTTCCACTGTGGGGTTTCGGTTTACTTTTCGCATTAAATGGACAAAGTTTACAAAACATGTTCCGTTTGTAGAGGTGTGTACTTGCTTTTCTCGTTAGTGTTTTTGTTTTTGTTTCGATTTGCGATCTTGCGTTTTTGTAATGCAGGTATTATTATTGTGGCGGGAATTTCCCGACATTCTGAATAAAGTTTACATTCTGAATAGTCTCATATGAAACAATAAATATACAATTTTATTATTTAATATTAGCTCCAAAGATAGCTATCGTAGGTACATACATACCTCTGGGGCCCTCAATGAAAACTTTCCCATTAATTCAAATCTATCTTATCGGGTTTCTGCATGGAAGTGTTTTTTTTTTTTTTTTTTAATTTTTTTTTATGAAGGGGTTAAAAAGAATACCAACATATATACAATTTTTATGTCCCCCTGTTGCGAGGAGACACAAATGTTGGAGATAAGGTGGGCTTCCCCCCTCTTGGCGCACCGCCACACCTGTTTGGATTTGGACATCGGCTAAAAATAACTGCGCTTTGATTATTTGCACATTTTCGAAACGAAAAGCGGAGGGCCAAGAAAAGCCAATGCCAGGGGAGGGGCCATTCATAAATAAATAAATAAATAAACTGCCAATATAGTATAATCGTCAGGATCGGAGGAGAGTTGCCACTATACCTACATAGTTCCATCTCCATCCGTGGATCCCGCCACCCCTTTCCAAAGACCCCAACCCCATTCCCATGCCCAAGTCGAATGCTCGAAGTCGCCAATGACGTAAAGGCCTGACGTCTGCAGAAAATTCCGCAAAACGCCTCTTCAAATTATTGGCGAGGCAAGAAGAGAAAAAGGAAAGCACAAAATACGAAATACAAAATACAAAATAAAATTATTTTCGTTCCATTTTTCGTCTTATGGTATTTTGTGGGCTGCCTCCATTTCATTTCATTTCATGTCTCTCCATTTGATTTATACTTTTTCCCAATTTTGTTGTTTTTTTGATGTCCCTCCTCCACCCGCCACCCCATGGCCCACTGATCGAGCGCCTCTTTTTTTTATTTAATTTTCAATTTTTTTTTTTTTTTTTTTGGGTTCAACACAAAGTGAAAGTTGTTTTCCATGTTATTCACTTCAACTTATTCTTCTGTTATTTCATATTTTATTAGTTCTTCCCAGTCCATATGTTTTGTGTTTCAGTAGCCCACTCTAGTGGTAGTAGTGGGTGCGGGAAGGATGCTGTATATGCTACGTATAGTACGTAGTTCCTTTCCAATTTATTTTCGTATACTGAAATATTTTTGGTAATTTTTTGTTATTTATATATATTTATTTTTTGACATGCCAGACAGCGAGATTTCCGGTCAATATGCATCGATACCTCAAACTCTTTGGCTCGCAGGCCCATGGAACTGACGGAAAACCAAATCCCTAGGGATTTCCAGAATTTAATTGGATTATTTTTTTTGATTTCTCCATAAACATGTAAGGGTAGCTATAGTCATTGGCTTCCAAATCTAAAAAAAATAAATACAAAATTCCGTTAACGTATTCCGGTTTAGGATCGGAAGGAAATTGGCAAGTTATTGGTAGTTTATAATTATTTTGGATTTTACAAAGGGTACCCTCACAAAAATTTTGAAATAATGAATAAAAACATTTTGACTAAGCTTTGAATGCCAAAAGAATGGAGAATTGAAACAAAAATCTTTCGATCAAATCTTAAGATCAGATAGAAATTGAAATAGATATATGTAGGTATGATTATGAGCCATATTTGTAAATTCCAAATTTTAAAAAAGGTTCAGAAATATATCCAAGATATTGATCGAGAATTTGGTTTTAAGGTTTTGATGCAATTTGGAGTGTTATTTGATTACTAATCGTTTAAGATATTCCGCTCAAGGATCGTATACAAATTGGCCGAGATACAGGCATAAATTGGACCATAAATTTTGATGTATAATTAAGGCAAAAATCCTTTAATATAAAATATAATAGTTGTATATATTAAACTATAATACCTATACCTATAATACCTTTAATAGTTATAAAACTAACTGCAGGGGAGCCCTTCCAAAAGAACTGCACTAACTTTGGATCAAAACCATCCCAAAATCAAAAGTCACCTAAAATCAGACGCGAATTCTTTTAAGGGCGAATTCTTTTTAACATGCGAACTATGCTGATTTATTTAAACTTTAAAGTCAACAAATTATTTACATTTGGGGGGGGCATTGTTTGTAATCATTGGAAAATCCCATAGAAGAATGTACATGTAAATAACAAAAAAAAAAAGAGAACACGCGCACTAAACTCTTACAATGGTATTTTAATGAATGGAAATTTTGGGCCACTAATTGCAATCCATCTCATGGCATGCACTGTCCCCCGCTCTTTCTATGTAACTCCCCCGCAATCCATCCCACCTATGTATATATATTATCGTGTGCTGCCATAATTTTAATGACTTTGTAAACTTTTACTGATTTTTTTCTCTTCTTTTTTTCCAATTTGTATGTTTTTGGCACACAATTGGAACTTGTTGTTGGTATTCTTGCTTCTATGGCTCTTAGCTTAGCTGGTTTTATGTTTGTTTTTCGTTTCCTCGAGAAAAAAAAAATACAAAAAAACACGACCTATAGAAGATATATAAATTTTTATCTGTAAAATATGTATGTTTTCTAGACAGTAAGTAGGAAAAGTACAGGTATACTTGCCATAAAATAAATAATATAAATATAATAATATAATATATTTTAAAAACAACAATAAATTCGTTTGAAAAAGTATTAGAAATCAAATAATTTAAGAAAAACCTAAAAACACAATTAATGTTTGAATATTTATTCCACATATACTTTTATTCAAAGCATTATCATTTCACACGAGTACTCTCAATTTCTTATACTAGTATATATTATATGGACTACACAGATATTTGACGTAGATTTCCGATTTTCTGCCTTTTGCATTTCTGCCACGGGGTGTATCTTTTCGATCTGCCCTGCATATGTATATATGTATATATATCTGGCTAATCGTGAAGGTCGTTTACGTCTGCAGTCGATGGTGTTGTTTTTTTTGTTTGTTTGCCACCCGCTATAAGGAAAATACAACAACAACTACAGCAGCAGCAGCAGCAGACGAAGCTGGCAAACAAAACGAAGAATAAAGAAAATGAATTTTCATTGCCTCCCCGATATCGCCCACTTGGCCTCTTCCCTAAAATTTGATCTCTTTTCCTCAACAAATTCCGATCCAAAACCAAAAACAAAAAAATCAAAAAAAAAAACCGAAAAAGAAAGAAAAATTGTTTATATTTATACGCTAAATATTTTCAAATATCAGATCGCAATTTACGTGTTCCGCTCATCCGCCTATAAGTACCCCGCAGAATGATGGTGGAATTTTATGGAAAAACAAGAAGATCGGGAATGAAAAGGCAGAGGATTTCATATTTTTATTTTGGGGGGGTTGGTTTATCTTTAATGGCTTCTTAATATTGTGGGGGAATTGTTGTTATCACACCAGAGCTTTAGCTTTGGTTTTAAAATAAACAACTGGAAAGTGCCGAATATATACATAGAATTATAATTTATTATTTATGTTTTGCGGTGGCCGTTTTTAGAGAGGCGCCATAGCTGCTAAACTTAATGGTTAATATTTTAAATAAATTATACTCTTATCTATAGGTTTCCATCTGACACGGTTCGGTTTCAGTTTTATTATTTGTTTTTATTCGTTTCGTCAGAAATTCTCGTCCAAAATGTTGCGATGCGAGGGCGGTTCTAATACTTGGCTAAGCCATCGACTAATTTAAGTGATTTTCATTAGAACGCTGATGGACAGACAGCCATTAAATGTTTATCCCCCCTGATGGGAATTTTTTGTGTTATTTTATTTTTTTAATTAATTTCCTGCGCCTTCAACTCTTTCACCTCAACATATCATTAATATTCTGTCTTTTATTTCAGTCTTTTTTTTTTTTTGTAGATTGTTTTCTCATACATATAGATGGTTTGCTTTTCTTTTTTTTTTCTTCATATATTTCATTCAATTTTCGCGGCTTTGTTGTGTATTTGTGAAACACCCACACGAAAATTTATTTTTATTTTTAAAGAGAACCCAAAGAGAAAGATCGTCGGCAACAAAATACTTGTGGTAGTGGTGTGGCAAAAATACTGAATGATTTAATTGATTTGTTACGGTTTCTATTTTGTCTTTAATCTTTAAGGGGTTTAAAATAATATATGTATATATTTTTATGAAACGAAATAATTGAATCAAATTACAATATTTTTGTTTAGAAACATCCATTGAAACACTTGTATCTCTTCGAGAGTTCGTGTGTGTGCTGCCTGCCTGCCATCCGCTCATGATAAGTCCAATATTTTAGGCCTTTCGTTTTCGAAAATTTCGGATATTTGGTTTTCAGTCCCTCGCTGGCATTTAAAGCGTTCAAACGCGTTCGAAACAAACTGAAATTTCACAAAAATATTTCTAGAAAAGTTCGTCTCGCCTGAATTGCGTGTGATTTTCATCACAAAGTTTAAAAAATATATTTTATTTGTTTTTAAAAGATACTACAAATATAAAGAAAAGAAAAGTGAAAATAATAAAAAACTGTTCTGGAAACAAACAAAAAATGTGAAAAATTAATTTTAATAAATAAGTTTTAACTGATAATTAAAGATACTTTAAAATCGGGCCATTTGCCTTCTATTCTTTTAGTCAAAATATAATAAAATTATTTAAAAATGTAAGTGGTTTAAATTTTAAAACAAATACCCAAGCATCTTTCACCGGAAAAGCCACACTATAGCCTACACTTTCCATCAATATTGGATAGTACTAGATACTATATATTAGATTATTTATCTCTGCCATCCTTGACAATGGCCTGGCCATGAGATATAGACAGCACGGCGCACCTCAGTTGTGTCATATATATTTTTAAATTCGGCATGTCATTCCGTCAGCTTATTCCTTAGCTTTTTTACGATTTCGCATTATTATTTCTAGAAGAACAAAAAAAAAAAAAAAAGAATAAGATAGAAATAATGCTCTTAATGCTGCTTAGTTAATAGTCTAAATCGGGCCATGAAATAATCTTGGCCAGAATATCGATTCCCCTTTCGCTTTCTACCATAATTGAATTAGCGGCCACCTCACTGATGATGATGTTTTTGCACTCTTCCAGGTCTCCAGCTGTGACAGATGATGGCCTAAAATGGCGGCCACACCACCAATGCCGCCCGGATCCAGCTCTGACCAACTGAATGGCAGCCACCCCGAGGCGAAGATCAAGGCAATCGGCCAGGGTCACAACCACATAACCGAGGCGATCAACCAGCACTTTCAGCGAAAGAACCAACTTCAGGAGGCACACTCGGAGCCCAACCACAGCAATCCAGGGAGCCGCAGGGGCAGCTATGAGCAGCTGGAGCTGCTGGAGCAACCAGAGCAGTCGGAGTCCAGTGCGGGTGGCACGGCCAAGGCGAGCTGCCATTGCACCAACATTAGTATTATGCACCTGTTCCATGAGATGAAGCAGGAGTTCCCAACGATACCCGATGCCATAGTGACGCAATGCGTCAATGAGAATTGCCACCAACGCGACAATTGCATCCAAATGTTGAGGAAGGAGTTCGCCCTGCAAGCAGTCCAGAGCTATCCCTCCAAGGTGTTGCAGCAGCAGCAGCAGCAGAACCGGCGGCCCACAAAGCCACCCACGCCCCTCAAACCGTTGCGGGCAGCCCCTGCCCAGCCGGAGATAACCCAGAGCAATGGGGCAACTACTGGTTCCAGTTCCACTCCCCGACCTGTTCGGCCCACCACGCTTAACCTACAGCGTCCGGGCAACACCCAGTTGCAGATGAAGATCCAGCAACGCCAGCAGCGGCAGCAGCGCGATCCCCACCAGCAACAGCTGACGCCCACGTCCCTGAGCAAGCCGCTGCGAAGGGCGCCGCCCCTGCCGCCCAAGCCGGGCAGCTTTTCCAACGATTCCTCGTGCCTAACCAGCCCGATGAGCTCCAGTGAATCGGAGCTCTCGCTCAACGCGGTCTCATTATCGTCACCGACGTCGGCAGCGCCATCGGCAGCGGCCAGAACAGCTGGAACAACAGCCGGGGCGGCGATAGTGCAGCCCCAACAGCCCTCTCCGGTTCGACATCGTTCAGTCATTACGCTCCAGCCAGAGCCGCCGTACGCGCGCGAATTTCTGACGACCCAGCCGCCGGCATCGACGCCGCCGTTTCCAAGCTCTCCCAGCTCAGCGGCCTCCCCGGGTCGCAAGAGCTTCACCTCGCTTAACCTCACCCTACGCCAGCCGGCAACAGGCGGCGGAGCCCAGGCGGCGATCGACATTACCGCGGGACCGGCGCCCAGTGGCCAGGGCAGCGGCATCACCTACTCGAGTGTCAGCTTCGATGCCCGAAAGGGCACCCACAAAAATTTTCAGCTGACGGTCACGGACGAGGGCAGCGTCTTCAGTGCCGGGTGTATACGTCCGCGAGTTCCGTGCGCTGGCTGTGATCCAGCCGCAGTTGCTCCTCCGACGAGTCACCAGCCCCAGCCGCCGCCGTTGCCAGCGGTGGTCGCCGATGGAGTGGGCCAGGAGCAGGGAGCCATGACGCCGGACGTGTTCCCCTATCCCACTCAGGAGCAGAATCATATAGTGGCCTCCAACTACAGTAACAACCATGGGGTGAACAACAATAGTGGCAACAGCACCAGCAGCAGCCCCGTCAGCAGTCCCACTGTGCCGCTCTACGCAGGAGTGCTGGAGGAAGGTGGGTACACTGGGTTGGGGGCAAGGAGGCAGGAACCCAGACACGTGTGCTGTCTGTCAAGTGTTTCTATTTGAATTCTAACACTCTGGCAGGGGACATAGACTAGTACTAGTACTAGTACTAGTACTTGGTATTAGAACTTAATTTCATCACAGTGCTCTAGTTATCGCGTCAGTCATGTTTGCACAACTGGTTGGGGGATTGAACAGGTGGATTGGATTGGATTCGAGACAACCTTGAGAAGAAATATATTTAAAAATTTAATTCTACTATTTTTTTTATCATTATGAGGGTATTCCTTGATTGGCTTTTATATTTTTTGCAAACCATTCTTGTTATTAATGTGTTTCAAAAACCCCGGGCCTTATCGAGGCACCCAGACGACGTCGTAGTTGGGCTCGGTGCGGTCTGTTATCAGCGGGCTGGTTCGCCCAATATTGTTTACACTTGATAAGGAAATTGAATTACGCCCCGAAATAGAATGGAAGCGTTGAAAGACCCGTCTCATGATCCGCAAAACACGAAAATTTCTGTTTAAAACTTGTGTCCGACAACCTTATATCGAAGGAAAGGGTTAATAATCGATATAGGGTATTGGTTCGAAATCAATTTCAGGAAGCAATCACTTTAATTACAGCACAGGGATCTTTAATTAGATGGAGTAACCAGTTGACGTCATTAAATATATAGGATAGAGTTCAGTTATCAGTCGGCAATAGAGATAGCGAAATTTGGAATTTATTTAGTAATTATACAGGTATATTCTACCTTGAAATAGACGTCATTGTTGTTATATCTTTAAGATACTTCTTAACAAAGTTGCAGCTAGATTGCATTCTAGAATATATTCTATAGGACATCCATGTCTTTTGTCTGGCTTCTGGTCTTGGCCATGTTTTTCCAATTTCCATTTCCCCTCTCTCTCTTTTAGTATTTTGCTTTGATCGCTCTTTCTGCTACGATTCTGCTCTCGAACGGCCGAGAGGCGTTCAAGTTCAGGGCAAAATGAGTGGGTGGGTGGTGCTGGTGGTGGTGGTGGTGCATAAACAAGAGGGAAGAGAGCCACTGCGCGACTTCTCTCTCTGCTTGATTGGCCGAGGCATTAAGCATACGCAGCGTGGGCACAAATCCGATTTTAACTTACACTTTGACATTTAATCATGTGACGTGCTCACGAGAAAACACTTAAAATGCCGTCCAGATTGACAGCCAGACCTTCCATCTGACCCGAAATGAATTAATTCATCAATTGGGAAAACTTTTGATGATGTGCCTCTCAAGTATAGATACATAGATATGTCTGAGATCGAAGCACCCTTGGCCCACTGCCCTGTTCGCCATTTCCGCTAGAAATCCATCACAGAATGCATCGCTAGATTCCTATTTGTTATTTATTTATTTTTACCTTTTTTTTCATAGAAATAAATTATTATTAGATTGATTTTTGGTTGTGCTCGCTTGCGCATTTGCACTAAATTTATCTATTTAAATATAAATTCTGTTTATGCCCCCTGTCCCGCGCTGCCTCCGCTCGCTCCGCTCTCTAATTATTTTTAGCAACAAAACAGAGTAATAAAATGTGAGGTATTAGACAGTAAAAATAAATCTGGCGGCGGAAAATATTTGGAAGAAGCTGCCAGGCCAGGCAATTTGTTGCCAGGCGGGACAGGAAATTCCAAAGCCAATCGATAGATCAGTTTTTAATAATTCTCCACATTTCTATACTTCAGCCCATGCCACGACCATCGAGCGGCAAAAGAAGCGTCGCGACAAGCTGGCGAACGCGCTGCGGGACAACAGGAAACGGCTGCTGGTCCTCGAGCAGGAGATCAACATCCTGACCGAGCCGGTTCCCGTCGGCGAATCTGAAAGACTGGATAAAGATATCAAGAAACTGACTGAGGACTGCCAGCGGCTATTGAACCTCATAAATGGTAAGTAATATTATTTATTTATTCAAAATAAAGCCTAATATGTTTCATTTTCTTCATATAGAACCGCAGGCGAATGGCTCGGGCCAGGCACCCAATTCCATGAATCGCCAGCATTCGGCGCCAGCCGGCAACGCTCCCCAGCAGCATCAGAATCAACCACAGCCATTCCCACGCCAGCGTCAAGGCGGTCGCTCCCAAGTACCGCCCACTACACTGAACTTGCACTCAGTGCCGACACCAAGCAACTTGCAGCCGAATCAGGACTTCTTGCATCAGCACCGCAGTGCTCCCAGCTCCGCCTGCCTGACGCCCCAGCAGCAGCTGCAGCAGTTCCAGGAGCCACCACCCACATACGCTCAATACCACCAGTTTCAACAGTACCTGCAGCAGCAGCGCCAGCAGCAACTCCAACAGTTGCAGCTACAGCAGCAGCAGCAATTACAGCAACAACAGTTGCAACAACGGTTGCAGCAACAACAGCGCCCCGGCAACGCAGAGGAGGAGGACTACCTGACCGATTCCGATGTCGACGAGGACGAAGAGCCACTGGACATGTGGGCCTGCAACATGTGTACATTCCGCAACCATCCGCAACTTAATATTTGCGAGGCCTGTGAGAACGTTAGGATCCAGCCGGGTATGATACGTATTATCCCCAACGCAAGCGGTGCCGGGGCAGCTGCTGCTGGCTCCGCTGGCACGCCCAACGGCAGTCTCGAACAGCAGCAGCAGCCGCCCCAACAACCGTACGCCCTGCATACGTAACCCCAGCTCCAGCTCGTGCTCGTGCTCGTGCTGCTTAAAACTGATCACAAAGTTCTCTTACCGTGCATGAGCTCGCTTCCCATTGTTCCTGCATGTGCGACTTTGAAACTGTGATAGCATTTAAATTAGTAGACGGCAGGCGCTTTTAATCCACTACTGCTCAACCTGAAAGACAACGGAAACGAATTGCCTACGCGGCCGCAGGCTGTTTAAATTATGATCTATGTTAGTTGCAATCGCCCCAGCCTCAGTAACCCGATACCCGATATCGTTACACTAGCTTTAAGCGAACGAAAAACAGAGTTTATTATTTTTAGCCACTAAACAAATAAATAAAGAACGTTATTTAAATATTTAAACAAGCTTTGCCGTTCTCCATTTACCCTATCAAGTATGTACTGTATGTCTAAATGTGTGTGGAATTTTGTCAATTGTGTTCTTTTAGCCCCAGTGCTGAGTCGTGAAGATATACACATAACTCTCTCACCAGGCGAAAATCGTAAGTTTTCAAATACTATTGTTTTTACTTTAATAATAAACATTTCCTATTTTTTTTTAGGCATTATACACTCCTGGATACTTTCATGACAGTCGGCCAAACGCTCAACATGAGAACCTAGACTACTCCAGAGATATTCATAATCTTAAATTCAACTATGCCTTATTTACATATTTAATACATTTTTTTTTTTGTAAATTATCCTTAGACTTGTAAAAATATTTGTGAGAATATTTAGAAAAAATGCTGCTGGCAGCAATACCTGTATTTTCGATACTATCTAAGCTACTATCATAACTTGAATATTTAAGAAAAAGACTTTTAGCAACGTCGCATCAACTGAAACTAGGAAATTATAGTGGCCTTGTACATTTTGTAAATAATTAGTGGAGAGATAATTGTATGAGGATTTTTTACAGGATTAAAAAAATTAAAAGTTTATCAAGGGAAGTTAAAAACATGTTGTAAGCTTTTCAAAAGCAGCCTATTTAACGAAATTAAACTGAACTTTAAAAGAATATAAATTGACTTTTATTTTTCCCAATATTACTCTAAAGAAAATAGACGGGATATATGTTGTCTCAGATCGATATATGTACATATCTATAGACTGATCACTGATATTGAGATCGGATCAGTTTTCCTTGTTTTTCTTCTTTTCAAATATATAGCAGAGTAGGCCTTTTATTTGTTTGGAATCAAAAATCAACATTTTAGTTCTGATCTAAAACTAAAAAAAAAAAATAAAAAACATAACGGGATCTCTTAGTCGCGATCTTTTCAAGTACACATATATGAAAAGTATTTTGCGTGACTCACATTCGGTCACACTGAACTATTATTGCTTGGCGGCTCAACTGAATATCATATCTTGAAACTTCTAGCTACAAATTCTACATAAAAAGTATAAAACAAACATCCAAATGGCTCAATTCGTAGCCAACCCACGTAAGTTCAATCCGGCTAAGATAGCCCAGTGGCCAGAGCCAGCGGTGATTAGTTGTTAGATCCTGCTGCGCAAATTCTTTGGAAAATAATGAAAAGCTTGCCTCTTTCAGCTCAGCAAAATTACTATTTCAAGGAATCGATTGCATACACCGAAGACCACATTCCCGTCCAGAAGCTTTATCTGTACAAAGTGCCAGCGGAGGTGCCAAAACCACTTGTTTCCTAGAAATCATGAATTGATAATTCCTCTCTTGCAGTTGAGTCAAAATGTCTTGGAGCTGCATTTCTGTGGGTACGGCCGAGTAGTGCGTCTGCAGATTTTTCGACCCAGGAACGCCCCACGTGGAAGTTGCTTTCGAAGTCAGCGTCGATTCACTGGCTATGTATTCTTCGCCGATGCCAAGGATGCAGCAAAGTATGTGTGACGCTCTGAAAGAGTCTTGCCATTACTAAGCTTTTAATATAATAATTCCAGGGCCCTGCAAGGTAGGGTTCATCATGTTAACGGGCGAAAATTTCATGTCCAGGCCAGTGATAGCTGGCACCAGCCTGCTGCCCATATACCACGCCATTTGCCCGTGGTACGTCCAAATATTAGGGCCCCGCCGCCACCACCCATTTTTGTGCTGAACGATCATTGTTTGGAGTACATCTTCAAATATCTTTCGCTGCCAGATCAAGTTCACTTCGCCAGGGCCTGTTCACGCTTCAGATCGATTTACAAGCTAGCCTCGCCCAGACTGCACAAAATAGTTGATCTCTGTCATTTCGACGAAATGACTGTATGGGATATGCGAGATTTCTTTAGAATTTCTGGACCACATGTGCAGCAGATAGAGGGCGTGATGCCCACATCTCGGACACAGCGCTTCTGCGATTACCTATCAACCAGCTGCCCAAACCTGAAGGCAATGATGCTACTCAGCAGCCCCCTTAATTCGCGCAACATGAACAAATTATTTTCCAAGATGCAAAGTCTGGAGACTCTCTACATGCCGATGTCAAACTTGACCGATGCAGCAATTTTGACACTGCGCTATATGCGCAATTTAAAGACGTTGAATATTAGCTGGAACTCGTTTTCAGGATATACCCTGTCCAAGTTGACTGCTCCAATCGAAACGCTGTCGATGAACGAATGTTTATCGTTCCAAACATTTGAGTTGCCCAGGATTTGTAAAAAGTTTAGCCAGTTGAAGGAGCTAAACATTACGAATATGAATACATCCTATTTTAAGGCCTACCAGGTGCTGGTGAAGGAAAACGCCTGCCCCAATCTGGAAATTCTGCGGATGACGGCTTTCGAAGGCGACACCTACGAGTTTATGGCTCAACTACCCAGTCTGAAGCAGCTGTTTGTTTATCCAACAATAATTGGTCATAATACGTTGCGCGAGGAACTCTTCGAGCAGTTGGCCGAGTATAAAGCGCACCAGTTACTGCGCCTTGAGATCCACGGAAACACCGTTCTCTCGAGGCAAGCAGTAACTAAGATATCCAAGCTGACTGAACTTCGCCGACTACTATTACCCCGTATCGACGCAGACAGCGGGATAGATCATTTATCGAATCTTCAAAATCTGGAGCAGATTACAATTCAACAATCTGATAGCACCAGTGGATCGGCTATATTACATCTATTCGGTGCATGTCCAAAATTGAGCGATATTCATTTGGATGGTTACGTGGATCCGTGCGACAAGCTGGTACTTGGAATCGTTTCCCGGGTCCGCCAGGAGACTGCCAACAAGGAGATGCATCGGAAGTTGCCCATAAAACTTTGCGTCTTTCTTAAAGATACCGTGATGGAGGATCTCCTCAATAATAACAATGTGGCTCCTAAGGACATCATCCAACTGAGATGTACAACACAATTTGACCACGATCTGACCGGCATCGACTTTGTCAATTTGATAGAAGACGAATTTGACTTTGATCCAGATGATATAGATCTGGCGGATGACTCAGGAGATGATGAATCTGATTATTTTGAGCGACGTGACATGTTTGATGCCGGCTACCTAGACGATAGTGACTTTGACGAGCGCGAGTCTTTCTTTGATATCGAGAATCAGGATAACGATGATGATGGTATAGTTTTATATGAGGGTACATTCACATATTTATATTAAAAAGATTATTTTAATTTTATTTATTTTTACAGATGTTATTGACCCGTTGCCGTAGTTGAAATATGAGAACTTTGGAACCTTCATTTATTATTTTTTTTGTTAAATCGAATTAAAAGTTATGTCGCCAAAGAAGGCAGATACTATTTTTATTTAGAATAGAATTTTTATTTTGTTTTTGAGTATTCTTTATGGAAATATATATGTGTTTATTTTTTAAACTATTCCTTTATGGCGGTCACCTGAAGTATGGCCAGATTTTTTATTTAACATTTAGAAGTTTTTTTTTTGCTCACGCACTGCGGTCACACTGGACAAAATCAGCTTGGCGCTTTTACTTCAAGAACATTAAAAATGTTTCCTCTAAACAGCGATATTAATATCCGTAAGTTTAAATTAAATTAGTTATGCAAAGGAATATTCAAATTGAACAAAACATATCTCTGTTCTCGTAGAATCTCAAAATTACTATTTTAAGAATTGGATTGCCTATACAGAGGATCACGTTCCAGTGCAGAAAATATATATTAGTAAAGTGCCGTCACAGGTAATGCATAAAGATTATTTAAGTTCTTTGTTTAATTACCGATTGACAGCTCAAGAAAAGCGCACTGAGGGCACATTTGGAGATATATGGAAATGTGCTGGAAATGAAAATATCCAAGACCAAAAAGGAAAAGTCCTCAGAAGGTTATGCATTATATGAAACCGCAAAGCAGGCAGCCAAGTGCGTACTATCCTTTATTTGGCTTTTTTTTTTAGCACTGACCAATGTATTTCCAGGTCTCTCCATAGTCCGATTCACCATGTAAACGGCCACAGGTTCCATGTGCAGGCTGGCGACAGCTGGCTGCAGCCGGAAGCCTACGGTAGCCCATCAGAATCTGTAGACCTGCTGCCTGGCGAGGAAGCACCTATCATGCGGTTGAATGATTACTGCCTGGAGCTCATCCTAGAGAACCTGGAGTTCGTGGCGGACCAAATTCGCTTCGCCAGAACCTGTCAGCGGTTCAGGGCCGTCTATGAAATGGCATCACGCCGAATGCATAGCATAGCCGATACGTACGATTTATTTGACGCTACCGTTTGGGAAATGACCGACTTTTTTAAGCTGTCTGGATCAAATTTGGAAGCCTTTGACACCGTCGTTGAAACAACACATCAAGAAAAGCTATACGCTCTTCTGGGGGAACACTGCCCAAATCTGACCACTCTAGATTTGTGGAACAGCCCGGATATAGAGAGTAATGCTCACAAAATATTTCCCAAGTTGGGAAAACTGGAGGAGCTTCAAGTAGCGGGAACGGATCTGCACGACAGCTCGATAGAGTCGCTTAAGAACCTCAATAACCTAAAAATACTTGATGCCAGCTCTACTCACCTGAGGGGACAAACCATGGATAAATTGCCTTCCTCAATAGAAGAGTTATCGCTGAATAGGTGTCACTATTTCAATATGGAGAATTTACCAAAGATTTGCAAGAAGCTAACAAAACTAAAGGAGCTCAACATTCTAAATGTTGAGCTCTTGCCTAGGACTATTGGACAAACTTTGATTCGGCAAAATTGTTTTCCCTCTCTAGAGATAATACGCATAACCGTTTTTAGTAATGATCCTTATGACTTCGTGGCTCGTATACCCAAGTTAAAACATCTATCGATCTATAATCCGAAAACCGTTCCTGAATACATAGGATTGTCTCTTTTTGTACAGTTGGTGAAGCGGAAGTCGGAGAAACTAGAGCGATTAGATATAATCGGCCCTTACATGTTGAATCAACAACAGATGCACCAAATAACTAAGTTAGCTGGACTACGAATCCTGCTTTTGCCTTACATCGAAACATTAGACGATGAAGTACTGGCAAAGTTTGCCGATTTAAAAAATCTGGAGCGCATACACATCAGCGCGTCTTCTAAAGTAAGCGATGCTGCGATTCTAGGCCTGTTTTGCGCCTGTCCCATGCTGAGCATAGTGGGGCTGCAGGATCGCACATGGAGCGACAAGCTGGTTAAGGGAATTGAGAAGAAAGTACGTGAAGAAACTAAATATAAGGAGATGAAAAGGGTTTTGCCCATCAAACTGATGTCCTTCAAGAAACAACATGAGGGTGAAATCCAATCTCAGGACATTGTTGTAAGTGGGACTTGGTATTTTTGTGTTGAAAATCGTAATTTGAAACCATACATTTTTCTTAAAGGGCTCGAAATCAAATCCGGATGATGTCGTTCAATTAATTAACACGGAAACGAAGGGCGGAGGATTGCCCTTTGACTATGACTTCGAGGGCTGCGATGATGATGATTTCGAAGAAAAATATTGGTCCGAAGATGAGCAAGGCTACGATGATTACTATGGCGATAGTATGAGCGATTATTTCTTTATTTCATATAATTTGGGTGTTTTTAAAATGCACTTTTAGGCTCAATAAATGTTACAACATTGTTTCTTTGCTGAATTCCTAAAAATCGTCGTTGTTTACATTATTATTGTATTGTACGTTTGCCCTATTTTTTGCAACATTTAACCGCTAATTTCGGATTGGTGTTTTAGGGTATATCTTACGTTTAACAAGCAATATTCAATTAATTGACTTTCCAAAATTGCACATAAAGGTTTTTAACAGAATAAATTTGCAGCATTAAGGTAGGAGTAAGAGTAAGTAGTTATATTAGATACTAATTAGCTTATATTGGAAACGCCTTCGCTGAATATAAATAGTAACTGGAGTAACAATCTCATACGTATAAATATAGGATATATATTGGTAAAGCACTGTAAATTTCGTTTGTTAACTAAGATGGAGACAAACATAACACAATTATAATACTTTTGAGTGTGGTGAGAAGCTTATTTAAATAACAATTGCTCTTTCTTTAAGATATGTCATAAGTAGTATAATAAGCTTGAAAATTTTGTTAAAATCTAGCTCGACAGGCAGCAGAAAATTATGTTTATTAATAATAGCAATGCGCGCGATCTGTGCACGTGAGCGACATGTCTTTTCCGGGTATAGGGGTAAAGGATTAACGAGGCCTAAAATACTTTATGTAACAATATTGATGTTCATGCCTTCTTTATATGTATGTATATTAATGTATATTCTGATAAATTATTGTACTCTCTTGCTAGTGCCAAATGCCAGTCCGGCCGCATCTTATAATTGTCCATTGCCGTTCCCTGCTCATCATTCCCGTTCTCCGTTTTCGAGTATTTCGGTATTTTAAATTGGAGTATTTCTCTTGTTTATTATACTTGGTTGAGATTATTGATTGATTACTGCTGCTCGAACTGGAGGGATTAAAGGGTGATGTCGTGCTCCTCATCAAGCATCTCTACAAAAGCGCGTGGCACGAGACCCTTCATCAGACCCTGTTTTCCGTACATGTAGTCCTCGTTTACGGGTGAGCATTCAGTTACGAAGATCACCTGCAAGAGAAAGGATACAATGAGGAGGGTTACTTTTTCTTGAACTCAAGTAGGCTTACCTCATTTGCGCTCAAGTTTAGCTCAGTGTGATCTTTGGCGTCATAGGAACAAAGAACGCGAGCTCGCTGCATCTGATCCGTGCTGACGTGCATGGGCTGACTGGGCTTGTTACCAAAAGCGGCCGGATTAGCGGCACTGTTATGGCCTGTGCCTCGGGCAGAGGATCCACCTGAGGATCCGGTAGACTTGCTACCGCTGGCATCGCCCAAGTCGAGCGGAATGTATGGTGTGGGGCCTCCCAAGCTGATGGAAGATGCAGAGTTAAATGAGTTTTGATTTGGTTCGATTTGATTGTGATGCTCTAAATAAAGTGGATGACCTGAGACAACCTGACTGAAATGATGTAACAACTACACAACAACCTATCTACATATTTAATATTATAACTAAATGTTAAGGTTAACTGGCTGAAACCCGAGCTCAAAAATTAGACTTGTGGAAGACACTACACTGTGGATATGGCACTCGCATCAAACTCAATGCGAAAGTCTTCCAGAAGATTGTCAAGGGACTTGTTTTGATCGGGATCTGGGTCGCTATCTAGTGCTACGGAATCGGAATCACAGGAATGCATCGATACAGAGCTGGGAGGCCCACCATCAACGTCTTCGCTATTGATGCGCAGGCGTGGCTTTGGATGCTGCATCCTGCAAGACCACAAACATAAGAGATATAACCTGGAAATGGGTAGGAGGGAGCATGGGGTGCGGAGTGTTGGCCCCGCTAGGGGTGCATGGGCTCGTTTTGGGTGCTAAGTAGAGTGCCAGAGTCCGTTGCTCGTCCTCTGAAATTTACTTACTTGGCCAACTCGCGCTGCAGCTGTTCCATGGTGTCGCCGCATTGCTTATAATACCGCACCTGGGCTTGGACGAAGGCGTGTAGGTGACGCAAATGGGAAGCTTGCGAAGTGCTGATCCCATCTAACAGCAGTTTCGTTATCTCTGACTGGCGATCGAATTCGGCCTGGGCCACCCGTAAATCGCGCTCGGCCTGTGAAACATTTAATTATTAGAAAGTGGACTTCATAAAATGATAAGAGGTTCAAAATAATTCAATGTTAGTTCGTGTCCTTTGTGTATTTGATATTTGCTGTGTTTGTAACTCAAAAAGTTTAACAACTAAATTTAATTTTAGATTTAAGTGACAACATTTAAGAAACCATCACTATAAATAATATACATTTTCAAGGTCGTGGTCAAGGTACCTGTTCCAAGACGGCCTCTGGCGAGATGCCATCTTTCTGTGAACCCCAAAGGCAGCATTGAGAAATAGAAAAATTGATGAGTCCATTACACAACCCTCTTGACCCACAAAATCATCTTACCGACTGCTGGCCAAGCATGCTGCGTGCCTTTTTAACTCTGTTCTTGCAGGCGTCCAAGTCGAGGCGCTTGGTTTCCAGAATGCCCCGCTCCTTGCTAATGGTCTTCATCTCACCGTCGAGGAATTTGCGCAACGGCTGGGTGAAGCATATGCCCGAGGTGGCGATAAAGTCGTGTTCGCACTGGCCCAACTTTTGCTCCGCTTGGCCTACCTTGATCAGAGCCTGTCCATAGGGCAGATCCTGACCAAAGTCCCCACCGGCCTCGATCATATCCAGGGCGAGATGCTCCAGGTTGCTCAGACGCTTGGGCTTCGATTTTTCGATCTTTTCGAAGATGAAATCCTCGACGCGATTTTGTGGATTGGGAATAAGCACCGATTCGGTGTCGCGGACAATCTTCTCCGTCCATGTCTTGGTAACGTCCGCCCGCTCGGCGAGATTTTGGAAGTGAAGATCGTATTCGGTGCGCTCTGTGGTGCCGAGCTTTTCCTCTGTCAGCTGTTTATCGGAAAATATGAAAAAAGAAAAGGGTAAATGGTCAGTGCCAAGTGCGAAAGCTAACACCACAACACTTCTGGAGACCCCAAGACCAACCCCCAGGCCCCCACACTAAATCCCCACCCAAATTCATTGATTTCTTCACCTGCACCACTCGAGAGATTGTGCTGCCCGCCTCCTTCACCAGGTTCTTAACATTGAAGTTTGGCAGATTTATATTCATTTCAGCAGATTAACTCGCCAGTCAGTCGAATATAACTTCGAAGGCTTAACTTGAAATTTAAATTTTGTCGTGCAGCCGAAATTGTTTGTATTTATTAGGGTTGTTGAGAATGTATCAGTATATCGATAGTTCCCAAAGCTATAATTATTTTTCTTGCGATATTTTCTTTCTTACCTATCGCATATCGATATTATTTTGAATTAAGTTTTTCCCTCCCAAGATTTAAAAGGCAGATGTTTAAAGTTTTATGATTAATTTTATTTTAAACTGTATGATTATAATCTACTTCCTACTCTTTCTAGTGATTTTGCTTCCAAAATCCGCCGCAATGACAATGAAGCCACTTACTGAACCAAGCTTTCAGGGCAGATGTCTTCGCCACTTTGCTGGCATTATTCACAAACACGAACCCACAACGGGCACAACGACGGATGGTGCTTGGCCGGGCCCCCAGCTGGAGGTTACTTACACCGTCCTTCACCGACCTGGCGAAAACGACATCCTCCGTTTCCATGTCCTGCAGACAGGAAGGCTCGACCAGCGAGGTGAACTGGAGCTGGCCCGACTTTACGGCCGCGAAACCCTGGGCACTCAACAACGTTGTTGGGGTAAACTTGCTGGGTTGAGGTATAAGCAGCTGCTTGGACAGGAGACTGCACTCGTCCAGCAAAAGCTCATCAGGCTCGGCAGGATTCTGGGCCAAGCGAGTGAGCAGGCGAAACAGAATGACCAGCACGTCAATGTTGTCCATTAACTTGGTGTAGACTGGAAGACACTGGGTATTAAGCAGGCCCCAGATGCGAATCATGACCAGCAACTCGCGCAGGCTGCCAATGGCGACGATGTCCCGGCTGATGTCGTAGCTAGGACGCTTGCCGGAGAGTTTGCACTTCATCACCTCCTCTGGAAGTCGGTGGAGCATGTTGAGGGCCAGGTCCGTGACCCACTGAATTAACTGCTGCAGGCTTTGAAGCATTACGGGCTCTACGGTGAAGTCTTTGGCGTCTAAATTCAGCATGACGGTGTCCACGTCGGGAATGGATTCTGCCAGTTTCATGGCTAAATTATCGGCGGGCCCTTTGTCTTGGCTGCCCAGGTCGGACGGTCGCAGCAAGCTCTTGAACGTTGTCGAAATGGCATGCAAGATGATCAGGTTGTCGAACTCCTGCTGTTGCACTCGACACAGATTGGACTTGAGGGCCAAAAAGTTAGAGTAGTAGTAGTGCCGGACATATGAGGGCTGTCGGGTGAAATTGTCTGTGAGCTTTTCCACTAGCATCTCCAAATTCCCAAGATTCAAAAGGAGAACATCACTGGCGTCGCATCCGGTGACAATGCAGTACTCCAGCAGAAGCAGGCCAGCTCCAGTTTGCTTGATTAGCGGAGCCTGCATCGCGTGCAGCTGAGCATGGCTATCGAAAAGCAAGAGCATTTGGCTAGTTGGTGTCAAGTCGCCGCTTACGAATCTCACTCCACCACTGGCGTCGGACACCTTTTCAAATTGAGTGTGGTTGATATGCTTCAGGGAGTTGGCTTCCAACACCTGGACACTGTTGTCCTGCAGGATCGCGTACACCTGACAAGAGTCGGCCGAGGACACCGCGAGCCGGGTAACACAAATATCCGCCAAAGAGGCGTTCAGATGCGCCTTAGCCACCTGCTCCCAACTCTCGGACTGTACAAACTCGTTTGGTTTGGCGTTTGATCCTTGGAGCAAGGCATGGACGTTCTGGCGACGGCGTGTAAGCGTCCACTGTTCCAGCTGGCTTCCTGCTCCGTCCGGACAGGCATACGCGATGAAGATTACATCCTCGTTTGCCACCCGTGTACACTTTATGTGGGTGATTTTTCGTCCGTCCAGGGGGCCCAGAAATATGCTAGCTTGGGACTCTGACTTAATGGCCAGATGCTGCTCCAGACCCAGTTCTCCTTCCAAAGATAGGGAGACTTTGAAGCACTGTACCAGCTGCTGCTGCCATCCGCAACTAAACGCCACATTCACAGCTCCCGATGGACTGGGTGTCATGCTGCAGTGTTCGATAAAGCTCCTCGAGATACCGATGCTGTGAAGCGTGGGCGTCAGTTCCTGAATCTCGGGATATGGGGTCTCAACAGGACCCAGTCCTGCGGAAGCCCTCTGCAACTGGGGCATACTGAAGGCGGCCAGTAAACCGGATGAGGTAAGGAGTAAGCACCCATCGCTGGCTACACTCCCAAATCCTGCTAGTGTGGGCCGGTGCTCCAAGCGTTCAAACTTTTCCGCATAGTAGGTGTGGTCCTTCTTTTGAGGATTGAAGATAACGCCCTTGCCGTTGTGGAAGAACTGCGCCTGTATGATATCCTCGCTGGGCACGTTGGCATGGAATTGCAGAAGCCACATATTGATGGACTGGTTCCTTGGCTGCCATATTTCGACTCGGCCTCCAATATAGCCCATGAGTAGCTGCTCGCCATTGGGACTCCATTGAAGGACGCTGATCAGGGATTTGGACGAGCACACCTTGTAGTATTCCCAGGGTGTCACTATGTCGCACACATACACATGGCTGTTGCTGGCTCCAAGACTAACATTGGATCCTGGATCACCGGCGTCCGCCGCGGATGGAACAATGGCGCTTTGCAAACTGCTAAATGCTACGATGTTACGCGCAGAAACGGAGCAGAGGACCACCTTTTGCGGAAAAACGCTGTCCTTGCTGAACTCCTTGCCCTCTACTTTGTATAAAATTGTCATATTCGCGGCGTTAACAGAAACCGTATAACAATTTTGTTATTGTTGATTGTTTATATTCGAGGTAGGGCTGTTGGTGGTATATTAACATATCAGTTATCGATATCTTATCGATATGGTAGAGATTAGAGATTATGGTTTATGGTGCGTGTCTTGGCTTGGGCACAAATGGTCGCATTAAAATGTTGCTTACCAACACTGTAGACAGGGCTACCTTAAACTTTTTAGTACATGAAAACTAATTTATTTAAGGATTTATACTTTAAGGATGTGTTTTAAAGAAATAATTGTATTTCCTTTGGCTTTATAATATAGAAATAGAAGAATTTATCCTTAAATATATTATTAATGAAAATATTTCGTTCGGATTACCCGAATCTGGTCACACTCTCACCTTTTTGTTTACATCTGGTTATCAGTTTAAAATTTATCAATCAAGTTTAAAAATGTCGTCATTTATACAGGTGACTTGATCTGCAACAGTAACAACTGTTACCTGGTGAGTAACCGTACCGCCCATCGTATCAACTTCGTCAGCCGCAAACACAAAGCATACACACAAACCGGCTTTTCTTCATTTATCTCAGTTATTTGAGGCTCTTTTCCTCACAGAATAAGTTTATTGAACTTCGGAGGCGTACATTAACTTAGGGCAATAAATATATAGGGCTTACGATTTACGACTTAGGACTAAACAATTGAGACGCTGAGTATCCAAGCAGACAAGCAGGCTCTCTATACTAGGTTAGAGTAGCGTAGTCCTTTGACGAGACTGCCGCTAAAGCTGTCGCCGTCCGTGAATCGAATTCCGTCCGCCTGACAAGATTGCAGACTGCAAGGATATTCAGCCCCGTAGGCATTGCTATCCCAGCGTATCTGCAGCTCGTACGATAGCTCCGGATTGAGGACACACGCCTCCTCGCGCCGCCAGCTGATGTGCAGATCACAGTTGTACTTTGTGGTCTGGTTCTGCACCTTGTGGCTCCACACCGGCTCCGTTGCTGGCCCCTCTGTATCGGATGGCAACTCGCAGAGGTCCAGTCTTAAGGATTCCCGATACTCCAGCTCCTGCACATGGCCCAAGCGATTGGGTGTCAACCGGCTGTTCAGCACCAAGCCCATTAGGGATATAAATCGGGAGCACTTGAGTCGCAGGCGAAAGACTGGGCAGTCGGCGTCCACCGTGAACGGCCGGCAAGCCTTGTAATAGCAACGTTCAATGGAAATAATGGGCGTCAAAGTGGGAGTCGGAGGCTTCAGCTCTGCAGCCACTGGCCAATCGGTAGATTCGCCTCCCAATTCGTTAGCCACCAAGCCCGAATCTCCGGGATCGAGGCCCAGCTGCTCGCACTCCTGTCGGGTCCACTCATAGACGTACCAAATGAGCAGCTTGTGCGGCTCTTTGCAGGCGGCTATAATGGCCTTGACGCACTCCTTGGACACATGCACATAGTGCTCTTTGAGATGATTCATATACTGGCCGTTGTTGGCGCAGCAGCGCATAAAGAAGGTCATGCACACCTCCAGAAGGGAATCCAGGCCCATGCAAACGCTCAGCTCCAGAGCGGGCAGGATATTGGCGAAGCGAAGCTTGCAGGTGACGGCCATGAGGGAATCGGAAATGAGTTCTTCCAGCAAATACTTCTCCGCGGCATAGTAAAGCTCAATGCAAGACACCAACTCCAGACTGTTGTAGTCCACCGAGCCAGTGTAGATGTACTCCACTAGGATTTTAAAAACGGGAGCACTGATGTCGTGGATCTCAATCTCGGAGGCTGGGTCGTTTTTCTGTAGCGGGCCGTAAAACATTGCCTCGAAGACCGGACTGGCGGTGGTCAGTATGAGCTTGTGGCACTTGATTTGTTCCTCGCACACGTGAAACACACAATCCGTGTACTTTCCGTCGTGAAAAAGCTGCCCGTAGCGTCTGCCGAGCAAGTTTTCTGCCCGTACCTGGTCCTTTCGTTCCATCGCTGAGATGCTTATCTGCAAAAGGGGCAGAGAAAGGTAACCAATATTAATGAACAGGCAAAGAACCAGTTTATAATTGGGCCCGTGCCCGTGCCCGGAGGTCCATCCATCATTCGCCAGATAATGGAAACTATTGTGGCGCGGGCGCGTAGAAAGCGAGAAGAACCAAAAGATAGAAAGACTCGGCAACAAACGAAAGACCTAAAAACTAGTTTGGTGAAACTTTGTTTGGCACCAAACTAATAATGAGGTATACATAGATGAAAACTATTTTTGAAAAGGTGTTTAACCTCGAAAGGAATATTTTTCAAATAAACGAAAGCTCTTAAATACACGAGCATGTTTTGAAGCTTAGTTGATAAGCTAATATCCCTTCAATAAATTACGTAAAACTTGTACGACTTTAAAAATAAACTTAAACTATTGTAATTTTATTGTCAGTTGGAAGGGCGCGTGGCATCTAATCTGTTCTGGTCGATAACGAAATCTCCTTGAGAACGAACTTGTACTACACTTGGTGGGAGTCAAGGGCAGCCAAGGTAGAAGTGACGTAATTTGCATTGAACAATATCATATCAATTACTCGGCCTGCATTAAATCTCCTTAGTCATGGCCGGGAACGTGTTGTTGACCACACGCAAATAATACTAATATTTTTACCATGATACAATAGCTCTGTATATATACTAGATTAGCGCACACATGCCAGACTTTTGTTTATCAATAAGCCGAAATAATACACCGAGTCTGTTTGTCAGCCAGTTGGCTATTCATCTATTGCCGGCTGGGATTTCAGTGCCTGTGTTTGGCTAAGGAGGTACTACACAACCGGTTTTAAGTTTCTTTAGTTGGCCAAGTCGGGGTTGGCGAATCCGACTCTCCAAAAGGGGGTAAACTCAATTTTAAGAACTGGAAGTAGTTCTACCATTATGGTTTATGGCTAGCTGGGTAAACAAACAATTAAAACCCCCAATCGTACACCCCCCAATAATGAAATCTGCTGATAAGCTTTAACAACCAAAAGTAGCGAATTCCTAAAATTAATTTGTAAACAACGGGCTCGGCCCCGAAGAGGCTTGATCGATCGATCTGGTGCCTATGTGAGATTCCCTCTTTTATTGAAAAATAAATATTGATCATCAGTCCGAGCTTACGCAAATATTTAACTACCGGTCGCAAATCCAATCACCCATCCCGTGATCTGCTGCGTAAATTGTTCACTATTTAATGCTGAATCGCAATATACCAAGTTCCCAGTTCCCAGTTGCATAAAATTTACCTAATCAAGGTGGAAAGCCCTTTCACACGACCTTAAGACTAATTTATGACGAAACTTAGAGGCTAGAATATTGGAAATGTGGATATTTCTCGGATATTTCCAAGAAGAAACACACCTTTTGGCACGGTGACAAATTGTCTTTGAAGCACACGAAATATTTGAACAACAATAGCGATCTGTATGGTATTCGTCGGCTATATAGCTATATAGTATAGCTATTCGGGGAAATTAAAAGTGAATTTCACGCACCCTCTCGCCGGGGCTAATTGGACGATCGCCGCGATGCTGGCCGCCGAACTTGACCGATATCGCGTCTTTATTTTGTTGATCGGACCAGCTGTTTCGAAAACAGATCGGCGAACTATAGATGAGAGAACCAGAACAGCGACAACCGTCGAGCACAACGCGCCACCTTCAAGTGATCTAACTGGCCGGCGGGAAGCGTTCTCCAAGCTGTCGTGGGACGCCGCAGCTGGCCCGACGCCTCTCAAGTGCTCTCTGGGCTCTCACCATGGCTATATCGTTTTGCGGCCAATACGCTTCTTCGGATCTTGTAGCCTCGTTCCTCAAGCCTCCTCTGGTCCTGAAACATCGCCGATTGATGCGTCTGAACGTTCTTGGCTAGATTGACATAGGGAGCTCGTTTCCTCTCATCCATCGAGTCCCATGCACTTCTCTCCTCATCAATTCGGTCATTCCTCACCACTTCCAGGTAGTTGAGGCCCACCAAGCCCCTCTGCCGAATCCGCTGCAGGAGCAGGAAGTTGAAGAATGGATTGGTGGACGCCAAACTCTGAATGTCCCGAGCTTGAGTTACCCGCAATGTGCTACGACTGAATCTAACGCGACATGCCCTCTTCGAGGACCGAGATCCTTCTGAGAGAGACGCTGATCGTGGTACTAAATCTTCCAAAGAGAAGTCTCTATCCTCAATGTCGAAGAATGAACACCAAAACTCTAGCGTCTTTCCCCAGATCCAGTCCATGCCGTTTCCCTTAATAAATTTTGAAGTTTCACACAAAAAGGACTCGATTTAAGGGGCCACTAGTATCTGCATAATGGCTGCTATCCCACCTTTCCAGAGATTACAAATTAAGCGGCTGTATGGGTTTCAAGCGGCTGCCTCACAATTGTCCAACCTTGAACCCTTTGAATTGGCTCTTCTTCAGTTCAGCTTGGCAGACCAAGCACACCAAAGTTATTTGTGGCGATCCCAGTCGCTCCTATACTCTTTCCGTTGGGTGCTTTACCTTTCAAGTGGTATTATAAGTTTTTAAAGATTTGTTGATACCAGAGGCGGTATCTAATCGAAGGCAGCATAAAATACTTAACTTTAGTGTCAAAAAGGGGCTTAAGTCTTTAAAGATAGTGGGAAAATGGCTCGTAGAGATATAAGAATAAAAATTATCACGGCATTTAAAGGCGACTTTTATTAAGAAGTATTTTTATTTACAAATAAAATTTAAGTTGAATAACTTTTATAGTTAGTTATAGAGTTAAAAAGAGGCTTAATCACTGGAAAGGGTCTCTGAGTATCGGTTTGCTGAAAATCCACATCTTTTGTTGCTTTGGCTCCGCTTTGGGCATGTGACTGGAAAACTGGTCATATGAGTGTAAATGTTGCCTCTGGAGGCTGGGCCCTCACGCACATTCTACACACAACTCCATATAGACACTAACACACACCCAGACACGTGTGGCTTCTTTTCTTAGCTGACCAGCCCTCATCATGGTTTTAAAATTGTTCTTCCCCTTCCTCCACAGGTCTCTGTGATGCACCTGCTGACTGGGCAACTTAGAATAGTGCTTGTACTGGCTCTGTTGCAGGATCTTCAGGTGAAGCCTCAGAAGGATATTTTCCAGGAGCACTTCGAGAGCGACCTGCAACTGTGCCCCGCCTGCTTTTCCACTCAGCGTAAGCAGTGCGAGGAGGTCTTCGAGGCGATACGAGAGCCCTCTGATTTAAACAAGCTTTGGAAGGCGATAACTCTCCTCTTCGATCGTCGCGAGATCTTCTGGCTGGAGATAGGAACCAGCCACGAAAAGAGTTCTTGGCTTCTGGCCAAGCGGAAGAGTATTGTCTCCAGTAACCAAAGCTTGAGCTCCTTGCAAGAAGAGTTCGTAGATCTGGAAGAGCGCCCTGGTGGCTTCCATCTTTGTCGCACTGCCCAGAAGTCCTCACGATTCATAAATTATTTAAACCAGCGTGGATATGACACCGCGAGCATTTATTTCTACATGCTGCACAACATAAGCCCACTGCTGATGCAGGAATTGCATCATTTGGACTTTCCTGTGCCCAACACCTATGCTATTTGTGGCTTGACTCATTTCCAGGCCTACGCAGGACGCACTTTAAACCACTACATCGAAGCTGGTGAGGATTTGCGTCGGGAGATAGCGCGGCAGTTGATCCACTTGTCTCTCAAGCTGACCTTTGGGTTTGCGGACTTTCGGATTTTCCTCACGGACTTCACCACAGACAACTTAGCATTCGACGAAGACACCAGAAGAGTGCTGCTCATCGACTTGGATTCCGTGGTAATGGTGGATGCCGCATCCACTTCCGGACAGTCGCAAAAGTACGAGCCCTTGCCAGGAGAAGGTTTCACCTTTGATGTTTCGGCCTTTTGCTCTGGCCGCCAGCTGGACGCGAATGTCTACCAGGTGTGCGTCCTGCTCAGGGACTTCCTGCTCAAAGATCTCGATGATGAAAGACTGCAGCTTATGATGAAGAAGTGTGTGGAATGCCAAGATGACCTATGTGATATGCGTTTCCAGTACGCCTACGATTTGATAAAACTGCTGGACAGTTAGCCCAGAATTGGAGATAATTTAGTAGTTAATCGTTTATAATCATACAACATATCCATTACAATCAATTTACTCTCTAAATGAACGGCGGTCGAACTTCTTTGAAGGATTTGGGAGAAGGGGCGGTAGCAGCGGCGATCTGCTATCACGATAACTTAGGACTATGACGAGGCGTCGGACCGGAGCTTAGATAATATCACGTGGCACACTTAGGAAGTGTATGGAATTGGATACATGGTGTGTGATGTCTGTTAGCGTCTCCTTGTGCACGCCGCCGAATAGGATCAGCTCGCCGTTGCCGGCGATAAGGCTCGAAAGTATGAGACGATCCGGGGCACCCTTGAGCACTCCAAAGTTTTTATACTCAACCCAGTCGAGGCCGGGATCGTTACTATCAAGAATACCAGAGATGTCACAAACAAACAGAGATTGAACATTGCAGCGAAGACGTTTGGGAGACGGAGCGCGTAATGGTTGGGGCTCTACTTGAGCGGCGGCGGGTGCACTGCGACGGGAGTTCCTGATGGCGTTCATCTTCTCCTCCATGCGGCGGATGCGCTCGTTGTGATCCCGTGACGCACTTCTCGATCGAGTGGGCACATTAAATGCAGCCATACGAAAGGGATCCTGTGCATAAATGGGTTTTAGAGAAAGGGAATCCGGAGTTTGATAAAATATGTAACTCACCTCGTACAGCTCATCGAAGCGTTTGGGGAGTCTGGGTTCGTTATCACGACACCGAAGCGCCAAATTTCTCTGCAGGCGCTGGGCAGCATCCACATCTCTATCGGCGGGGGATGGTGGTGCGCTTGGACGCACTGGCGGTGAGGGAGCAGCCACAGCTGGAGCAGGAGCGGGAGCTGGCGGAGCATGCAGATCACTCAATCTCCCCGAACGTGGCTGGTAGTTGTTGTTGTTGTTATTCACATTGTTGTTGTGCAGGAATTGCTGTGCCTGCTGCATGTGCTGGTTAAGAATGGCTCTCCGGTTTGCCAAATACTGCTCTTGAGGGCCGAGAGGTGCGCCTCCTATGCCAGGTCGCATGTTTCCCGGTCGGTTCGGTCCAGCCACGCCTACTCCTCCGCCCAGGCGCCTTTCTGGAAGCTGTATTCGATGGGCCCGTTGGGGTAGATTCTGCAAGGGATTGGGTGCGGCTGGACCCCGGCCACCAATGACCGGCAGACGGCTTTGCTTCATCATTTGAAAGTCCTGGGGCATGTTAGGCGACGGTCCCACCACCACTAGATAGTTGTTGACCTTGCAGCCTGGATTGCACCACATGTGGACGGCTCCGAAGCGTTTGTTGCGGACATTGATGGCCTTCCAGCACCAGACGTCCCTTGTCATGTCCAGCAGCCAGGCGTCAGTGTACACCCGATTGGCTCCTCCACATCCTCCCACGACCAGAAGGTGGTTCTTTCCCAGATCTATTTGTATTTGGCCGTAGCGTGGAGTTGGGCGCGTGTTCCCCACGAAAAGAGGCTGCCACCAGCGTGGTTCTGCCAAATCCAGAACCCATGTATCGTTGGAATTGATATTCACATCGTCCTTAATCTGATAGCCACCGAATACAACCATCCGGTCGCCGTGTACTGTGGCCGAGTGCCCTGCCATTGGCGGTGGACAATAAAGCGTATTCCTCTGCAGCCAACGATTCTTCCCGAGATCGTAGTAGTGGAGCTCATCGAACAGACACCACGGCTGGTACGGTGGATGAAGTGAGGGATAACGCCAGCCGCCGAATAATACAAGTTGATCTCGCCAAGCCACCATAGAGGCGCTGCCCTTCGGCGAGGGATAGGTGCCCGTCGCCACAGGTCTCGCCCAACGCATGTGCGTCAAATCAAATCGCCAGAGATCATTAAAGGTGGTGTCCGAGGACGAGCCGCCGCCAAACACATACATCGAGTTACCTTGCCGTACAGCAGAATGGGCGAAACGTCCAGCAATGAATGACAAGGCAGATCCGGCTCCAGCAGTGTTGGTTTCCTGAGAAAATACCTCCCATCGAAGTCGAAAGTCGGTTAGACCCTTCTCCAAATTGATTTTCGACCTTCTCACGAGATCTGGCCGAAAAAAGAGAAATTATGAGGAGGATTGGAATATTCTAAGGTTGAATCCACTCACTTTTTACGATCCCGTGCCAGCGCTTGCACACTAGACTGCAGTGCTCCAGGTCCCCGTAGGGTGGCATATAGGTGAAAATAAACTCCAGGATCTCATCTGGTAGCTGATTGAGATTGGCGTCCGAGGTCGCCGCGCAGTTGTCGTTTTCGCTGTCGACCTTGTTCGCATCCATTGTTGGGCTCCTGGGTCCTTGAAGACCTTTCTTGCGTTATTGTGTCCTTCACCTTCAGATGCTGCACTCGAACAACCGAAGCAGCAAATGGGAAGGAAGACCTATTTATCTCTTAGACGGAAAAACAGGCTTTGCCCTAAATCGCTTCTTTAAGAGAAGTCTTAATGCTTTTATAGTTTTCCGACACAACTAAAAATAAATTATAAACAGTGGCTGCGACGCTGATAACCGATTTCCATCAGCTGTAGGAACCAACTATCGATAACATTTCGATAACAATAACTATCGAAATTTTGCTTTTACAACACTTTTTCAATTTTTAAAATTTTAAAAATTTTTCAGCGCACGAGTTGCAGAAATTCGCGCGCGTGTTTTAGCAGCGTTTTTATTTTTGGTTCGAATAGAACCGCGGGAAAAAAAGCGCGGGACTCCAACAGATTAAAAAAAATACTGTATAAAAATACAGTATTTTACTGTAAAATAAAAACAGTATTTTTTTATGGTCTAATTCACCATATCACACGTGCAACTGCTTTGTTTTGTTTACATATTTTGGTCTTCAAAATGAGCACTGCAAGCCAACAAAAAGTGGTAATAAATAAACGGGTAAAAGGACTGCCACGAGAGGCTTTGGAAAAACTAAGCCAAAAGGAACTGATCGACAAGATAGTCCAGCTGGAAGCGTATAATTTTCAGCTCCGAAATCTGCTTCAGAAAAAGATCACTGATCAGGATAAGAACAATGAGGAGTACGCCGTATTATTTGGCAAGGACGCGGATGCTACGGATGCCACGGGATCCAAAGAGCCGAAAACAACAAGCCGCGCCCAGCAGCGAAAATTCGATTGGAGCAAGTGAGTCAATGGCATTAAAAAGGGAATTTCCTCGATAATCATTTTTCTGTTTTAGTGCCCACCGTCGTCATGTTCTGCTAAAGGTTAGCTACTTTGGCTGGGATTATCAGGGTTTGGCCTGCCAGGAGGACTCCAACGACACTATTGGTGAGTTCATTTAAATAATGATTACCCAGAGAATATATTCTTTTGCTTTAAAGAATCCCATTTGTTTCGTGCTTTGACGCGGACGTGTCTCATTGAATCCCGCGCCACATCCAACTATCATCGTTGCGGCCGCACCGATAAGGAGGTGAGCGCTTTCTGCCAAGTGATCTCCATCGATTTGCGCAGCAAACACCCGCCCGAAAGCCAACTGGATGCCACATCTGTGTCTTCCGAAATCGACTACTGTGGACTTCTGAATCGCGTCTTGCCCAAGAACATTCAGTGCGTGGCCTGGATGCCTCTGCGTAGTCCTGTTTATAGTGCACGTTTTGATTGTGTGGCTCGTAGCTATCGTTACTATTTTCCCAGGGGTGACCTGGATATTCCCGCCATGCAAGAGGCCTGTAATTACCTGGTAAGGCATGCTGACTTTCGAAATTTCTGCAAAATGGATGTGCACAACGGAGTGACGAACTACACCCGAAACTTGCAGTCGGCCAGGGTGGAGGCTTGCGAGGAAAGACTTACTGATTCCGGTTGGTATTAAAAGTCAAAGGTTTAAAGATGAATACATTATTTTCCTTTCCTAAGGCTACGACATGTACTTTTTGGAAATTCAAGCGAATGCCTTTCTGTGGCACCAAATACGATGCATTATGGCAGTTTTACTGCTGGTGGGTCAGAAAAAGGAGAAACCGAGCGTTGTTAACGATCTGCTGGATGTGGAAAGCAATCCTTGCAAGCCCCAGTACACGCCGGCTCTTGGTTTGCCTCTAAATCTCTTCCGGTGCGACTTTCGAGACAAGACAACGAGGAGTTTAACGCATCCGGAAGACGCAGGTGACGATGCCATGGACACAGGCCCAGAGGAAGGGGGACCCGGTACTGATGATAATCCTTCAAAAGAAAGCGATGTCACCGAATGGGTGTACAATGAGGAAAATCTCCAAAAGCTCATCGAAAACACTCAATGCGAGTGGGCACAATTCAGTGTTAAGAGTACGATGATTCGGAATGTACTCCAACAATTAGAGAAACTCTTGGAGGATAACTTTAAGACCGCAGAAAAGGTTCAGGCGCAAGTAATCTTGCTGCAGGATTCAGTCAAGCCACGTCAATATCAGCCGCTCCTGGAGCGCAAGCGTTGCGGTAAATGATACTTTATTTAATTATAGTCTTCATCTAATTTGTTTAATACTTTTTCAGAGAGCCTGGAGAACCGTATAGAGCATTTTGTCAAGAAGCAAAGGTTGATCGTGAAGTAAGATAAGGTAACCCATAATAATAGATTCAATAAAATTGTAAATAAAAAACAGAACTGTGTTTTTGGGCATTCATAAGGTTGCTTTCAGGTAAGTATATTTATGTTGTTATTTGAACTCTTGCAACATTTCGAAGCTTAGCCTAGTATATAAAGGGTAAATAATTTAAAATTGTAACTCCATACAATATCTTACAGACTATTCGGGTTTCTAGATGCTATCATGAGTCTCTATATATGTTTATTCATATGTATAGTTCTCTCTGGGGGGCTTTGTACGATTAGAATAAAGACTACTTTATAAGTGATTTAAACATTTAACTAGGTTAAACGAAACAGGTTGTCCTTAATCAGGTATTCTTATTGGGATAAGTCAAGGATGTGTATTAGCTAGCCATTAGTTATGTTCCCATCGATTTAGCTTTCTGCAACCTGAAAATACATAGTAATATTAGATCTTTTCCTCAATTAGGGAGATGCCATTCTATTACTTACTTTCTCCTCAAGATCTTTAAGACAATGGTACCCTCCCTAACATTTTTAAAGAGGCCTATGGTTTCCGCATGGCTCATGCCTTGCACAGAGTTTCCGTTGATCTCCACTATCTCATCGCCTGAAATGGAGGTGTTGTTCGTTTTCTTGATAATGCTCATACTTCAGAATATCCTTACCAGCTTGCAGAGTGCCATCATCGGCTGCCTGACCCGTGGGAAAAACGGTTTTTACAAAGATCCCCATATTTCCCTTGGGCGAGTCTCGACCACCCACAATGCTGAAGCCCAAAGACTTCAGTCCAGGTCCTTTAAAGAAGGTGATGGTCTTGGGGGTGCATCGTCCACTGCCTGATAAGTTTCAAGATTTTTATAATCAGATATAAATAGGTTAAAATATATACTTTTTAAGATGGATTTAATCAAAAATTTTAGTGGATTATTGGTTAACTGATTCTCACCCTCGCTCATAGAGGCACGAATGACCTCTGCCATTTCCTCATCGCGTATGGTTAGCTTGGCAACTGGCAGCGATGGACGATGATGCATTAGGGCAGCGGCGGGCGGCGCCAGAGAAGCTCCCGACGAAGCTCCTCCAGACGATGCGGATGCAGATGCTGATGCTGATGCTGGTGAGGATGAGGCATTAACATACGGATTAGGCGAGAATAATGAGACGCTCTTTGGCGAGTGCTTGATGTAGAGTGATTGGTGTGCTTGTTGTGGCTGTTGTTGTTGTATCTGCTGCTGCTGATTGTTAGTGAGATCAGTTGTTGTTGTTGTTGTGGATAGAGGAGGGGTGTTAGGAGCTGGCTCTCCGCCTGTTAGACTGTTATTCGGAGCCTGCATAAAGAGACTGAGGCGCGACGAGCTCAGTCGCGAGTGAGCAAACCGGAGGGAGCGGTAGTGCGAGTTGGTCAGGTTGATGGAGTTCCTGGCATAGTGGGTGCGCTGGCCGAACTGCTGGGGCGAGCCACCAGGCGCCAGGGCCGAGCCCTCGGAGCAGCGCTTGCGGGCCAGCAACTGCCACTTCTCATCGTCCGCCAGGGAGGAGGCCACGCACACGCTCGCCGCCCGGTTTGTGTACACTGGCGTATAGGAATCGGTGTCGTTAGCAGTGTCGTTCTCGTTATCCAACAACCGGTGGTTAGGGGAGGTGGAGCAGCTGCTACTGCTGCCGCTGCTGGCGAAGAGCGGGGTCGGTGTTAGAGCCAAGCTGCGCTGACCTGATGAGCTCCTGGCCCGCCGTCTGAGTAGCTCGTGCTCTGGGGCACTGACGTCCAGCGAATGCCGTGGCGTGGAGCTGCGACGGTGCTGCATCAACGGCATCGGTGTGGGCATCGTACTGACACTGGCCATGGAACGGGCATCGCACTGATCCTCGCCTTCGCCGCCATCTTGCTCTTGATCCGGATTCTGGTTCTGCATCCTCTCCTGCTGCAACTGGAGGCTCTGCATGCTGGTCAAGCTGTCGGTGCTCTGGGTGCGTTGGACATAGCTTAGCCGGTGGCGTTGGGTGCTCATGCCGTCGATCCGGATTTTGGTGTAGAAGTCCGTCACGGTGGTCACCTCATCGTGGGCAATCACCAGATCGATGCAGTTGTCCACAAAGCTGCTCAGCAGGCGCTGGACTTCTGCAAAGGACTGGATGCCCCGCAGGTGCTTTCCGTTCACATTGACAATCTCATCTCCTAGGCGAAGGCGTCCATCCCTTCAAGAAATTAAAAAATTAATATTTTTATGGACAAACCCATTACAAACCAAACCCAAACTTACTTTTGGGCCATGCCATAGGGCTCCAGTTCCACGATGAGATAGCGGTACTGCTGCTCATTGCTGTTCGTCATCACGGTCTTCGGGGACAGGACAATGCCGATGTAGTCCTCCTGGCACTTGCGCTCTAGTTTCAGTTGCCGGAATCTTCGTCGAATAGTCTCCGTTTCGTAGTCGTAGTTGTAGCCACCCAGTGAGACGGGTGCACTGCAGATGCTACTGTTTCTACCCGTTCCCGTTCCCAGAGCCAAGCCCATGCCCATACCCATGCCCATTCCCACGCCCTCGGAGGAGCTCAGGGAGATGAGAGAGTTTCGCTTGAGCGTGCCCGAGGCAATAGATTCGGTATCTCCGCCAGAGATGCTCAGATTATTGCCCAGTCGGGCGCCCGTGGCTCCTCCGTCGCTGTCGTAGCCGGACTCGTTCGAACTTAGACAACTACTTAATCTTTGGTAAAGTGGTTCCCAGTCCTTGGACGTGATGCTGTCGTTCCGGGACACATTGCTTAGCGTGGCCTGTTCCGGGGATCGGCGCTGTGGAAGGGGCGAACCGTGCTGATGCTCCTGCTGGAGAAGATCTCGCTGCTGCAGTTGGTGGTGCTGCTCTCGCTGATGCTGCATCTGCTGCTTGAGGTGTCCGGGTCCATGGCCGTGATTTTCCTCCGGCAGAACGGACAGTCTCGAACGCAGGAAGGCGTAGGGGAAGGCCCCACGACGAGCAGCATCCTGCTGCCCACCACTGGTGGCAGCTGCTGCCCCGCCGGCTGGCGTTCCACTTGGGGGAGATCCCAGGCTACCGGCAGCACTGTTGCTGCTCGTGCTTGCCGTCAGGCAGCTGCTTACCTTGGCGATGTCATCGCAGCTACTGGACTTCAAGCTGGCGATCCTCGGCAGCCGCTGCTCGCGCTGCTCCCGCTGGAGATTGAGGCCCTCGGTGGGATCGTCGCACTTGACGTAGGAGCAGCTGGACAACTGGCTGGTGGAGCTGCTCCTGTATAGAGTGGTCGTTGCTGGCGTAGCCTGTTGGGCCGCCTCCGAAGCCTTGAGGAGATTGTGGGAGCGATGATTCAACATGCCCGTGGATCCGATCCGATGGAAGAAGTTCTTCAGCACTTTCTGGGGGCGGGCAGCCGCCTGGAACTGGTGTGTGGGCGTCGTCTGGGCACTCTGGCTTCCCTCCTGGGACAGTTGGGTGTGCGATTGCTGCTGCTGCTGGTGACGCTGCTTGATGGTCTCGATGGGACCCGACTTGCACTTCTTGAGGGTGCTGCTGTGGTGGCCCCCGCCAGTGGGTGAGGGCGAGGCCTTCGACGAAGTGGGCACGGATCCAGTGGCGGACCCGCCGGACCCACCGCTCTTGTGGTGCGTTGGCGAGTGGAAGAGACTCCTCAGGTCCGAGTGGGACTTGTGGGCGGCGGCGGGTGAGTCGCTGCGCTTCAGCAGATCCAGTTTGCGACTCATGCGCTTGCCCCAGGTGAAAACTGCAAGATACAGAGATACAGAGGGTTTGCAATCAGAAAGCGATTTCTAACTTAATTATAACACTTCAATAAATCTCAACGCCTCGCCACAATTCCCCGCAGATGCCGTTTGACAGATGAGAAGTGTCCAGCAGGCATGGGCCCTGGCCTGGCCAGGCCTGGACTTGATCTTGGACATGGCCAATGACAATCTACAATCTGCCACTCTCAACCTCCAGCTGCATTGTGGTCAGCCAGCTTGCCACGTGCTTGTGAAAAGGCATCCGATTTCAGGGTACTTGTGGTCAGAGTTTCCCCGCAACAAAAACTACAGAAAAGTGGAAAAAAAGTGGGGTCGGCTCTAAAGATCTTTCGACCTCAACAGACGTTGAAGTCTTTTGACAAGTAAGGCTCTTGGCAGCTCTACTAAGAGGGAAGGAAGTTCCTTTCTATAACATACATACATTCCTTGAGTAATATTTAACTTAAGTTTCGGGAATTAAATTAAATGATCTAGTGAGTCTGCACAGCTATTAAGCAATAAACACACCTCAATTGCTAATAGAGCATAACCAATCTTTAAATGGACTCGTATTGCCCATCGCCCAATGGATATCTAATACCATCGTAAAATACTTTAACGATGGGGCTTTAACAGCAATCTCGGACACTTAAAAAGCCAGCAAGAACTCTGCCAGCCAGCCAGCTGTCCAGCTAGCCAGCCAGTGAGCTCGTCTTCGAACCTGGTTAATAAACAAATTTATGCGCCTGTTCCATATTTATCGCGGGACGAGGCATTTACCAACAATTAGCATAAAACATGCACAGCACAATGCTGATCGCCGATCGCTGGCTCGGCCAATGGACTTCAAAGCCCATTATATTGGCCGCGCCAATAAAATTTCCAAAACTATTTTCATCAAATCGCATCGGCGGGGGAGTCGGGCCGCGACCCGAATCTGTGATCAGTGATGCGAGCCAGTGACTTCTCGGGTCACTGACTAACCCACTTTAAACAGAGTCTAGTTATTTAAATGAAACTACTGATTCTATCAAATTGGAGTGTCTTTTTAAGTAAAAACATTTAATACGTTTTAGAGAGATGCCTTGGTGTTGAGTCACTGCATCTTCTGGCAGTGATTACCTGGCATCTCCGGCACCTTCTTAGCCTCTTTGGCTGACTCGTGCCAAAGTTGTTTAATAGCCGCAGCCCAGCCGCGGGCCATGGTCCGTTCAAATTGCCCTGCCTCGGCTCGGGCCATGTGTGGGCGATGTGGATGGCTTGGAAGCCAGCCAGGATGGCGATCCCGATGATGATGAGGAGGCGTTTGGGGGGTGGCCAGATTCAGATGCAAATCCGAGGCGAGAGCCAATGCAGGTTGACAGCCGCTCCGGCTCCGAACTCCACCCAAGGCCTGACCGAGTTCGCCTTTGATTAAAGTTTTCACCAATGCAATCACAGCGGCTAGGAAGGAGGCAGCGGAATGGGGCGGAGGCAGTGCCTCAGAGTGTTAAACAATAATAGGAAACGGCGCGCGGGCATCAATTATATGACAACCTCAGCCACACTCCAAGAGACTCGCCCCGACTTACCCGGGGCCCCCGCCTGCACCATCATCTCTGCAACATCTGCAGTCACCGCCGGCCACATGCCACAAATTCTACACCCACTTAACTTTCAAGACGGTGTCAAATGCCCGCCAGCCCAAGAGGCCCGTCTTGTGGTGCTCCTCCCTCCTCCCTCCTCCCTCCTCGCGATCCCCACACCCCATCGGAGTCGGAGATGGCTTTGTTGCCATTTTGCCGGCTGACATGCAAGCGATGTTGAAGTAGGAACCATTTGAGAACTGAGTATCTCTGGGGCCAGGAAACTTAGAACTGAGAATCTCAAGTGTTGCAGAGGAGGCAGAGTGGTTGTCAGGCAAGGGCCAGGTCCCAGAGGCCTTAGTCTTACTGTACACACATTAAATACTTTTTAAACACCCCACCTATATGTATAATTTAAATCATTAAAATAATTCAACAGACAACAAAGGAATTGGATCAATCTCGATTGATATGCATCGGGAATTGCCGAAAAAAGTGCCATGGGAAAGGCAAATACTTATATGCAAATGATGGGGTTTTTGTGCCACTTTCAGATCAAAAAGAATCAACATCGACATCAACATCAGAATCAAAATCAGTTTGGGAATAATCGGGTGAGAAGCAAATGCACATACCATTCAGAATAATATCTCACGTACGAATTCCTCCCGACAATCGGCCGGCAGTTGGATATCCATAACGGATTGAAGTTGCCGGGCAATGAGAGATCGATAATCGTTTTGGCAACAGAAAGATCACAAGAAACCACAAACGGCAAAAAATCAAGTCAAGAGGAGGATGTAATAAGCGATAATCCACAATAAATGCGCCTGCGTGCAGGCGGAGGAGTGACTTTTTGGCCAAAATGATCCTAAAATCTTTGCAAGCTGGATGGCATAAGCCTTTGGGCTAAGGTTTTTGGTTTTCCGCTTATTGATTTCTAATCTCTGTTTTTCGGCGTCCATCATTTGTTAAAAGTAATTTTTATTCATTAAGCTTAATATATTTTTAAGCTTGAATCGACCTTGGGGCCACACGCTTGGCAATAACTTTAATTAAAACCAATTAAGTTTGGCATTAGAGGCGGCAAAAAGCTCAACGAACCTAGAATGCGACTCTGGCATGCAATGTAGAATGGCTTTGGAATTACATTTCTTGGAGCAACAGCTGCAGATTCCGGCGGCACCTGATAAAACCTGCCACACACACTGCCACTATATATCCCCACCTCTGGACTTGCAGCTGTTGCAGCCGCATTTGTCGGCCCGACCCCGGCCTTCTAAGCCATCATCTAATGGTTGCGGTTCGCAAAGAAGCATTATTGCTTTTGCGGTCGTCTTGCCGACCCATCCAGAAAAAGTGAAAATCAGGAAAAGTTGGGAATCTTCCTCTATTCAAGAATCTAGAGTCTAATGTCCCCAATCATATTTAAGACTGGGTATTGTAAATATTTGTAGCTTTTGCAACTCCTATTCCCTTTTTTAACTCAAACCTCAATCTGGTATCACATAACCGGCAACAGCAAATCAAATATTCTTTACGCGAATCATTGGAACTAAACTGAACTCAACCAAAGTAATGTGAACTGAACTGAACTGCTCTGAATGGGGCACAAAGCTGGGCTTTGTCACACTTGGTCGGTTGTTGGCAGGGGCTGTAGAAATGCACTGAGAAAAAACAGTTTTATTCATAAATTAATGAGAATGATCTCTTCAAGAAGTCTCTTTAATATTATCCCTTAATAATTATATTATTTTAACAATTATTCCTCATTTTTCTCCATGTAATATAAGCATTTCTACTCAAATACCCAACCACAATGAGCTCCACCCCATGTGCTCCTCCGCACGCTCGTGCCGGCCGGAAAACAATACAAATTCCAGTTGCAGACAGTGGATCGCATTACATCGCCATCGATGTCGTCGGCTTTTTGCCCATTGATGCGAAATCGGGTCAATACGGTATTTTGGAGTGTACGCCATAAGGCGGACATATAGTCTGACAATAGCCCTCTGATTGGCGCTGATTTGCCATCGGTTTGTTAAATACGGAAGCAATCGGCGGGGAAATGGAAGTGTGTCTGCTGTTTCCTATATTTAGAGCTACAGAGAAATTAATTGTTTCAATTAAAAAACGCTTCGAGTTTGGCTCTTAATACCTGGCTGACAACACACGCCAGGCGGTCTATAATTTATGGATTCATTTAGCGCGTCGGCGGAGGGGTCTTCCCCCATCAGATCCAAAGATCCGCAGCTATTAAAATAGTATCTTTGGCAGGCGCCACTTGATGGGAAAATCAATTTCAAGGCATTTTCTCGGATTTAGATTCTATTTTTGGCTTCCGGACTTACCGTTTCTCGTTGTGCTGGCCAATGAGGTGGAACTGCTGGCATTGGAGTTGCTGTTGCTGACGTCATTGCTGTTGCTGTTGCTGGTGGTGTTGATGTTGCTGTTGCTGCTGTTGCGACTTAGGTCCTTGGCTGGCAATGAGTTCGATTTTAGCTCGTCGTCCAGGACAACAACTGGTACAGCAGTCACCAATTTATAGTCCGGAAGGTGGCCTGTCAGATAGGATTTACAAAATCTCGTTAAAAGGAAATACTATAAACCTATAAAGATTAATTTCTTATCTTTTTCTTGGAAGAATTATATCATTTATTTGTTTGCGGAAATAAAACAAGGGGCATTGGCTTTCTTTCTTTCGATTGACTATCAAAAAATTCTGTAATAATGCACTGGCGATAAGAAAAGATTACACAAAGCTGCGGCAGTAAGCCACAAACCAGGGAAAAGCAGTTTTATAAAAATATTCAAACGTAATGGTCGTTAAACTCCTAGTTAAAATTTTAATGGGCTTTTGTTGCCTCTTCGGAGCGGCTCATCCGGTGATTTATGGCGATAACTTTGGGGAACTACTCGAAGCTGTGATTACTCATTTGCAGAGTGGTGATTCGGATAACTTGGACAACTGGACCAAGGACATGACCCTGGCATTGAAAAGTGAACAGCAGCAACGTCTGGCGTGGAATATTCCGTGGGAGGACATACTGGATAAAGGACTCTCTCCCTTGGACTTGCAACATCTACTTAATCCCAACAACCGCCTCAAGTTGCACCTTTGGATGAGCTTCTACTGGCATTTGAAACGCTCCAGGAGCTTAGATGCCATTCTGACCACAAACTTTGCCCTGAAACTGAGAGACTTTCGGAGGAGCAACGAGGACATGTGGAGCCCTGACTTGCAGAACATGTGGCAGAGTTTGCCGAAATCACTGAAAATTATACTCCAAAGTGATTGGTTGTGTTTGCAACACAAAAGGCAGATGTTGTATGTGGTCTCGGGCTATAAACTGGAATTGGGCGCCAACAGCAACTGCAGCATGTGGCAGATACAAAGCGAAAACAAGGATCACTGGATGCGTTTAATTAATTTTTGTGATGACAGCAGTTGGTTTTTCATCAACTTGTGGCAATCAAATGCGGAAGTGGACTTTTTGAAAAGCAATCCCAGCTTGAAGGCTTTGAATTTTTGTGTTTTTAAGGACATGGGATACTTTAGAGATGCCTCCAAATACGATATTGATTGTCAGTGGCAAGTTAGTGATTGCAGCAATCTACCTAAGATATTAAATAAAAATAAATAAAAATTAAATAAAAATAAACTTTAATAAGCTTTTAAGTAATCTGTTACTCACCATTTGGCGTCAGGGATCGACCCTTGTGGCTTCCACTTCCATTGACAACTGCCCCGCTGGCATTCGCCCCCTTCTCGTACAAGCAACTACTGGAAGCTGCATGCAACCTTTGGGCCACATATTGCTGATACTGAGCAGCGTGTTGCTGCTGCTGCTGCTGTTGGTGCTGCTGCACGGTGGCAATGCTGTTGGTGCTGCCATAGCTCAATAGCAATGTGGCCGAGGTGCCACCCGAGTTGACACTGCCACCCAGCTTAGTGGGCATGGGCACATAGATAGTGGGTTGCTGATGTTGCTGCTGCTGTTGTTGCTGTTGACGGTGCAGGCTGGTGGCCTCTTGCAACGACATCACCGACATAGCCGAGGGCGTTTGCCTTCCACTTAATAGACATGTGGGCGTGGCCGTGCGTAATGGCTGTTGTTGTTGCTGCTGCTGCTGAAGACTGCCACCAGATGTTGCTGACGTCGCAGTGGCTGTTGCTGCGGCCGCTGCCGTGGCGGTGGCTCCATTGCTGGCCAGGGTGGTGCAGCTGAGGATCATGACGGGCGAATTCTCGTGCAGATCAGGCAGCGAAGAGGATATTGTGGTGCTGGTCACAATGCTCTTGTTTAGCCGGTTGCTGCATGTTGCTGGTGTATGGTTTTTGCTTTTGCTGTTGCTGGTGTTGCTGCTGGTGTTGCTGTTGCTCTGGCTGCTGCAATTGTTGCTGCCGTTGTGGGGTTGCTCCTGTTGCTGAGCTGCTAGTGTGCTGTAGGTGTCCGTGGATTTTCGCGTTTTAAAGAGACGCATACTACGTGGCTGTTGCTGTTTCTGCAAAAAAAAAAACCAAAATGAAATTATAGGTTAATTTTCGGGAAAAGAAAAATTAGCTTTGGTTTCATTATTTTGAGGCCTGGAAACCCAAATTTTTGTCTGAAATTTTTAACCAAATTCATTGTTTGTTCGCTGCTGTTGCTTTTTTCGTCCAACGGAGCGTATAATTAACACAAATTGCAACAAATTTTTAAAGTGTTGCTCTAACAGACAGCATGGCCAATATTTGACTATTGATTTCCTACTTTCTTGGCTGCAATTTCAGGTTTTTTGTTGTTTAAATATTCAGACTGTAAGTACAACAAATAATCCAACAGCTTTACGGCTCTATTTGTGGCTCTATTTATAGAGCCGTGTGTATAAATAATTCTTATCAGCTGTGGGACACTTCCCACATATGCTAATGCCATCGATCCCCTTATCGGTTCAATAAACGCATCAAAGGTGATTATCAGACAGTAATAAAAAATAAATAAGAACATGAAAAAATATTACCAAAAACATGCTGTTGTTGGCTTATTTAATATTTACTCTGCCTGTGTCATTGTTTTAACTTATTGCCGGGTGTCACAATATTTGCCCAACACTCACATTTATTATTGTTTTTTTTTTTTTAAGTGTGTGTGTGTTGACTGATTAGTGTAGAAATCAAGGAAAGGCAAAGCCAGGCGGCGAAGGTCACACACCAGCTGTCGAGTGGGTGGCGGGCGGCCGTTGAACCGGGGCTCGCTTCAAGAGGCAAAGAGACCACAACTGGAGATGGCTAATTTGCCCAAATGCCTTTTACTTTTCAAATTGGCCAATAGCCAGTCTAGTCAAAGCTAATTTGATGTTTTACGAGCCAGTTAGTAAGCCAACTCGGCCAGCTGCAATATCGCAACATCCACCGGCCCTCAAGCCAACTAATTGATGTGACATTTGCGTCTGCATGTTGGATTCACAAAATCAAAGTTCTTTCCGCTGCACAGTGGCACTAAAATGCCATATTCTATGGTAAGTCCATAAAATCCACATAACCCTTAAACGTTAAGCCTTAAAACCAAGCCCAAGCTTTTAATTAAAATAACATCTGACAAGGTTGTTAGAAATTTGTTGATGGCTTAAGTCCTCATAAAAATAAGTAATTTCCGTTTACTCTTTAAACTCTTAAGAAATCTTTAGTATATATTATACAAATCATAGTTATTGAACCACTGTAAGTTAGAGCGTAGAGTTTCTTTATCTGCGGCGCCTCTTGCTGATGTTGCAAGTAGAATCGAAGCTTCTACCCGTTTGTGCAGCTACTGTGCAGCCATAATTTTGCTAATTTTATCAGAAGCTTTTGAACCTTGTCTGGCTGATTTTTATAGACGCTTTTAGCCATCAGCCAGCGGCTCAGAACTGAGCAATATGTTGTCGTAATGTGCATTTAATTGGTCAACGAGAGGTCATTGCCGTAAATTTCCTGTATCAGTACGAGTATATGTATGCATGTTGTCTAATTAATAGTGCAAAATTTTAATGGCCCAACGTGGATAGATTCCGAGTCGGATGCCCAGTTGGAGATCGAGTCATAGTTTCTGGTCGTGCCACTATAAAGCCAAGTGATCCAGGCAAATGGCCTCCTCGGATGGGGTTGGTGTGGTGTGGGGGAAACCAGTTTCAAGGACGCGCCGATGGCGCAATTCCAAGAACCTCACTTGGCTCATTACCGCAAGACGACCAAAGGCACGGAAAAAAATTAATTTAAATAAATAAATAATAAACTATATAAGGTAGGCCTTTACAAATTGTACTTAATAGTCTTAGAACAAAAAGTCTAAGTATCTTCACTCCCATTTATTTGATAGTTTTTCTCAGTGCATCTTTAGAAGCTGTCAAGAACTAAAAGATGGTTCCAAGGAGTGGGCAGCAGTGAAAACGTGACTTTCTGGCCGCCAGGCTGACGATTGCTAAACTATTTTTTAAACAGCCTTTCAGTCGGACAAGGACAAGGCTAAGCTTATGGTTCGAGCCCCCTACTCACATACCTCTCTACACTTAATTTTATTTTAATTTGCCCTCTCTGTTTTATTTTTATTCTTTTTTTTTATATTTTCTTAATAAGTAATAACAACATTTTCCTTTCCTTCTTTCAGGCCGAACCGCTTGTGAAGTTATTCGCCTCCCGCTCCGGCCCAGGCTCCTGTTGCTCCTGACGGAGCCGGCTGCTGGAGTCGCCAATCGCCGCTGCATAGTTGTAAAATTCCTGTAAACAAGCCGGGTCTGCCACAGCTGTGGCATGCGGCATGTGGCAACTGGCAAACTCACTCACACACCCATCCGAGCCCCACACTGATTCAGATGATCTTGGCAACAATTGCGCCAATGGATTGGCTTCGTGGGTTGCCACAAAAGTTTAAAAGGATAAGAGAATGTTTTTATTCTAAATTTTTATACATTTATCTACTTATTTATATTTATGCATTATTTTTTTTAACTTTTCCTTTAAGAGTAATTGATTTAATAAACTTCTTGGTCACCCCGCTTGGGGGCTTTATCACGGGGCAGCCCAAGAGTTGTTACCTTTTGTTGCCACAAACTTTTTGAGTTATTTTTTCTGTGCCTGGCTTACATACAGGCTTTATATATATATTTTCGATATGGCCTATCTACCGTGCGCCTACATATCCCCTTCCCCGGGCATGTGTGTGTCTACTACTGGCAAGTCCGCATTCTTTTAAAGGTTGCCAAGTTGGACGGGCCGGGCCGGGCCGGGCCGAAACCGAAAAAGAAACAGAAACCGAATCAGAAACAGAAATGTAGACGGCGGCGGAGATTTTTGAGCCCAAGACATGGAGCAGACCAGTTCGAACGAAAACATAAACCAAAATCGAAAACCGAAAAACATTTGCCCAGCGGCTGCCTTGAATGGTCGAGCCAAAGAGACTTTTCAGTTTTAGGTTTTCATTTTCGTTTTATATGGCCCGACAACGACTGCCGGCTGCCGACTGCCGAAAAATACAAACCACAAATCGGTATCTGGTTTATCAGAATTTTCAGCCAAAAATTCTTTGGAGGGGGGGCGCCAGTCGTGGCTCTAATTGCCCCGCTCCGAAATCACGAAAAAAGCTCAGTGTGGCAGCCAGAACGTCAGGCAACGACTAGCGATATTGCTGCTGTCCCGTGAAAAGTTGCTGACCTTCAGGTGGCACCTGTTTGCCCAGTGCAGGAGGATTATCGAAACGGCCCGGCCAGCCAGCCAGTCAGTCAGTCAGCTAGTGGTCGGTGTTCCAGCTAATTAGGCATATCAATATGTGATTATCTCCATGTCGCTGTTGCATTCGGTGGATGTTGCTGCCGTTGTTGTTTGTGAGTCATCGGTGTGTTGCCGGTATTGCTAGTAAAAATGTTGCTGGAATGTTACCGGTGTTGATGCCGCATCGCATCGCATCGTATCGCATGGCTATAAATAGTTAACCTAATCAAAATGCAGGCGTGTAAGCAAACCATTTGCATAGTTGTTGATGTTGCTGTTGCTGCTGAAGCTGTTGCTGTTGCTGTTGCATGTTGCTTACTGGCAATTAACTTTGGCATGCGCAGACATTGGTCTAAATGTCAAGGTAAATTATGATGCATTCAGCTATTACGTCTAATAGTCCGAAATTCATGCACGTGTGCAACTATTTATAGTTGTTGCAGATGCTGGATGCAGCATATGTTGCAGCTTTAGTTGCCGGCAATGACAGATCACTAAAAACCTGCTGCAACTCCTCCTCTACCCGTAATGTTGCTGTTGTTATTGCCGTTTTGATACATGTCTATGGCTGCGCCCTTTTCTACGCTAATTAAGCTGCGACTTGGACCCAGTCTCTGGGTTTCATCTTTTCCAGGAGCAAGGCCAAGGCCCCGTAGATCGCCGGCCAGGGGAGGAGTTGGCCTGCGGCAATGGCAACATTTAATCATCACATTGCTGCAGAAATCGTATCATTAGCGTTTTTACGATTACGCGCTTTATCACAATAGTTGCAGCATATGCAATAGTTGCAGGTTGCAGTTGGGTAAGTACCATGGGCACCGCCACACAAAATACATTGAAAACTTCAAAATAATTAATAGTACAAACTATTCCTAAATCACACCCATAGTACCTCTTTTTTTGTGCGTTTTCTTTAGA